AAAAAAAAGCATTTCCTTTTAATTCAGAAACGTGTGACTATGGACAACCTCAAAACGTACCTATGCAAGGTAGATTTAAAAATTCTTACAAAATGCTTACAAATTGAGTGTAGAACCTTATCAATGTGGTCAAGAAGATGAATTGACAGAAAGAAGTTTGCAATTATTAAATTTCATTAATACGCTTAAATAGTCCTTCGGTATACAGGCAAATGTGATTATATGAAATCATCCGCAGCGTCTCTTCAAGGTAAGAAAGTTTATTTAATAATCTATTGGTCACTAGCCCGATTCCCTGAATTAAATGATGATTTATGTTCACGAAGTAAGTAATTGTTTAATTTTAATGAAATTTCATTAGTTTACCGATACACATGTGGATTTGATGGTGCACAAATTCAAGACTATCCAATGCAAGGTACAAGTCAACAATTCAAGTTGAATAAATTTTAATTGCAGGAACTTATGAAAATGTGCAGAATCTGTCCTGTCAAATGCAAAGTATGATCTCCTTTATGCTAATTTTTCTACCTCTCCTACCAGATTCGCAAAGTTCATTGGCCTGTACCAACATGCAATCTCAAGACGTGTCAATGAAAAGTAGTCTCCATTTAATTGACAAGGCATTTTTAACCAATGTAGGGAGCTTCAATAACACTCAACCTCTTGATTTATCACCTCCACGTAACTCTCCTTTTTTTGTTTGGTACTCTGATGCATAGGATACAACGAGGATGCACAACCACCAACTTTAATGACACAACGTACTTTGTGCATTTGTTACAGTAATGCTATTTTAGTTCGTAAATATGCACAATGCCTCAACAGGCAGTGGAAACAGCCTTCACCACCACAAAGTACGTCATTAGTCGCATTTTAGGAATTATGCATTTAATTTGCCTTTTTCCAGGCAATTGCATGGAATCTCGAGTTAGATTACCCAAAATTATAGGTATGTATAATTAATTAATTAATTCTTTCGGTCTAGACAAGGGTGAAAAAGCACAGGCACAAAATTGCTCTTTGAGGCGTAAGTTAAATATTTATTTTTTACATCTTTCTCTCTGTAGCACAATGTCCAACCAATAATTCATTTGGTCCTCAATCGAATGGTAGGCTTTAATTTTTTTATTATTATTTTTCCTTAGAGCAATGCAACAATTCTTCGCCTGAAGGTAGGCCCTTTGTCATCTTTACTTCAAACAAATATTTCATGTTTATTTTACTTTTTTTAAGTAATTGTGGCTATGCACAGACCATAAACACATCTAAATTGAGTAATGAATATTTATGTTTGTAGGATGTATTGATATGTTAATGCAGAAAAGTCTTTACGACCAAAAACAAATATGTCAAATTAACTTTATTAACACAACTTTTTCACAAGTTTTTTAACAATGAGACAAAACGTCAGTATTTTGTGCGAAACCAAGAGGGTGACATGCGATTTAGGCACAAATAATGAAAAGTTCTTTCTTTAGGTCACAATAAGAATAACAATGCATGGTGCCCACCGCCGCAAAGTAAGCATCACAAACACTCAACTAACTTATTAACGTGTACGTTTATTTCTACACTTCTTTAGAGAATGAAGAAAAACAGAATGGTAAGCAATACCCCTTTTGTTATGCTTTATCTAATGACAATTATTATAGACTTGACAACGTGCGGAGGCATCACAGATGTGGACACGAATGCGCTAATATCCGAAGAAGATGCTCAATGCGTAGAATCATATGCGGTGGCTTTGCGTTTTTTTAGCCATTCAATGGGTCGAACCGGTATTGATGAAGCAATTCTTGAAAGGCCTCCATCAAATGAACTTCTAGAAAAGCTAAAGCAATACCAAAAGGTATATTTTATTGCAAAGCTATTGTCTACTTCTGATTCGACTGTAACTTTGTCTAATGTTACTACTACTTGTTTTAGGTCATTTTAGACATTACAGAAAGAGACAATCGACAGATGAGTTATTACAATGCCGAGATTGTTCTATGTGGTGATATCACATCTGAGATACGCTCAAAAACGTTTAATTGGCTGATTGAGGCAAGAGATTCTCATTATTGTGTAATTTTGTCATTGATGTAAAATTAAAAAAAAAAACGATTTTCCTTAAAGTTGCAAGGTTCCATCGGCCTCCTTGACGAGGATATTCACTTAGTTACAAGTGTTGTTGATTTGGTGACAAGTAAAACATTTATCATGAAGAAGGATTATCCGTTATTACTTTTGACATCCATTTGGTATGCTCGTTTGAGATCGCGCGTGGGTGGTAATGCATCGTTACAAGAACTGCTGCAGACCTTTGACAATAAGTACACAGAAGCACAGGTTTGCTCTTGAATGCTCTTTCAAATATTACCAACTAAATTATTGCCGAAAGGCAATGCAGACGAGTGTTGTGCGTTCCTTTTTTAGATGATCGCAATGGCTCGAGCAATGCGGGAAGCGATTGAAACATTCATTCCTCTTGTAACACCATTCAATTTCTTTTACATGTATTCTGTCGGTACCATGGACATTCCGAGAAAACAAAAAGTATTTGTAAGTACTAATTCGTGTGACTTTGCACTGCTATCACACTGTCAGATTAGTTATGACAATCAGAGTCACTTTTTCCCCCCAGTTTGATGATGCGTGCGCCTACCTCTTCGACTTGGGCTTAACAGAGGACATTTTGGTGCAATACTCGGCTCGTCTACGATGTTGTGGTGTAATGTACCTCATACGTCGCATTCTCAATCGTCACTGCTCCTATTTACCTGATCATCAGGAATATCACACACAAAGAACACGATGTCCTTGTTGTACCCTCACTGATTGGTCGGAATTATTGACAGTAATGACTGGTGTTGAAGACAATCTTGTGCTAAGGAAAGTTGCATTCATCTATTGCTCCACTTTGTGCAGAGCCAGAAAATTTGTCACCGATCCCGAACACGCATATCCATATAGGGTAAGTTTATTTTAAAGCATTTTTTACATACAAAGTATTTAAGCAGAGAATAAATTACAACCTCTATAACTTTTTTGTGTACACAGGCTGCCTTCGATAAGGCCAACAGGCCTGAAATGCATCATGTTTCTTCAAGCAGACTGCTAACACACTTTCAAATGGGCTTACTATTTCCTGCAGCTTGCGCCTAAAATGTGCATTTTATGCATAAACTACGCTACTATGACGTATGACAGCGATAGTAAATGCTGTCTGGCTTACACTTACTCATTCGTATTCACAACTTGTGAATGGTAATACACGGACTCAGTATCCACTAAAAGGAAAAACAAACTTTCTTTTTACTTATCAGTATTACTTTTTTGTTCAATATATGCGTCTTGAACCTTTCTTTTTTATCTCTTTCTTATAAATGAATTGTAATTGCCTGTCAGACTGATCGAGGGATGCATTAGCGCCTCTACTAACTTTCGTTTTCTGCGCTGTGTTCCTAAATACACCCAAATGATTTTTTTATTTGTTTGAATGCATACGTAAGAGGTGGGAATGCCTGTGGCTCTTTGTTGAGTTGACTCAAACTTTATAGGCAAGTAATCTCTCATAAAATTCAAGGTCAAGGCGTCACAAGGGAAAAGCACGGGCAAGAGGTGCCTTTGAGTGTGGTTGGGGCAACTGCTTGTCAGGATAATTGCGATATCCATTCTTAGAGCTTCATCTGCCCTATGAGTTGAAACTTTGGTGGACTTCACATCTGCTTGTGTGATCCTCATAGCAGGAAAAACATCCCATGGGTATGGTATCACATACTCACTACCTTAGCATCGCACATACGCAGGTATTAGCAGCGGACGATTGCGCAAGGAAGGCGACATGTAAAAAGCAAGTTAAGAAAGAACGATTCAATGAAGATGTCTTATTATTCTCGGTTTCCCTAAAAGTGAAACATCACGCATATGTGGCTAGTAAAACCTGTTAGGTCAGTCAGGCTATTCAGCCTAAGTGTAAGACGAGTTGGTGGAGTTCACCCACGCAGTAAAACCTATTTTTAACTGCATGACATGCTCGTACTTGTCAGAAGCATTATTCTTTAAGAGTCGTTTCTGCTACGAATTTTCACACAGAAGAAATTTCAATCAATTTGTCTGGGGTATTGACAGGAGTGACGGTGACTGGTGCAGAGGAGCTTTAAGACTTCGTGGATGACGATGCAGCTCAAGTCTTAACACCTCAAAGACAGTCGATGAGGCATAAGTTATACAACGTCTCAATATTTTTATCCGACGCCAGAAGTTTGTTCATTTTTTAGTCCGTTTCCTTTTTTTAAATGGGTTCTTACTTTCATTTTTTTTTCAAAATTTCCTACTACCTTTACAGAAGCATGCAGGAGACGAAACTCCTTTATCTTCTTTCCCGGTCACAGGTGAAACTGGTGTTTGAAGGGATGAGAAGTGTAGACGTCCCTTTACAGGGGATTTCAAGGAGTCAGCAGTCACCACCTCTTACCTCCTTCCATATTTTAGATAGGTTGAGTGCATTGGCACAATCCTCAGCCTTGCACCGAGCGCTCTTCAGTTCAAGACTTTCAACTGCCAGCTTCACCTTGTCTTCGCTGCGAATAAGATTGAAACGTCCGTACTCCTCTTCAGTATCACCAAAATTAAGCAGTATAATCGTTTTCAACCTCCAGTGCCGCTTCTTGCAATTAAGTGCTTTCGCTTTTTTCTTAAGTCATTCAATGTTTAATTAAATTGTCTGCGTCAAGAATCCTCTTCGTAGAAGCCTTAGTGGGACTCCATCAATGGCAATTGAAAGCATCCCCATCCTAACAGTGACTGATCCATTTCTCACTGTTGAATGGCATGATGAATGTGTCGATGATGTTTGGAGCCGTGGCAACTCCCATCAGAGGGGCTAAAGTTGATGTCTAAGACTTGGCAAAATGTGCAAAATGCTTGAAATTTTCACCATGCAATCACTTCTACTGTTCCAACGTGGTACTAGGAGTTGCATAAAAATAGTGACGCCTCCTCTGTCCCTCCACATATGGCGCAAAAAATAGGACTGATTAGCTAAGCAGCAGTGAACTGAAACCAACTTTGATCTTTAACGATCACAAATGACATTTATCACGGCTCTCCGTTCATGACACTAATTTAATGGTCACTCTGAAATTCTAGAAAGTAATCAAAACCACCTGCCAAGTATCTAGTCATTTGCAACGAAATTTTGACGCACCTTACTCGTGGGGAATTTATTTGAATACCAAATGCACTGCAATGAATTGCCTGGTGATTGTCGCATTAGTATTTGCTTCAACAGTTGATTTCAATGGCGATACGAGATAGGCATTCCATCAGTACTAGTAACACAAACCTCCTCGTTCTGCTACAGGCGCACACTCTGCCTGGAAGTTCCATGCCGGTTTATGTCCTTCGAGGATTCTTGTTTTGTGCATTTAAGGGCGAGTTATACTGAGATACTTGATAACCTCTCATTTGACAACTGTGACTACCCAGACCACAGAGTAGACCGACTACAACGTGGATGATGTTCACGTCCACTCATTTGCGTGACTTAAGATTGTGCTAGTCGCCTCCTTCCACAATCCTCTGCATTTTTAACACCGCTTCAAACGGCAAACAGTGCTGAAAGTGAAGAAAACAGAAAGCAAAATTTAATTGCAGGGCTCATCACGAGGTAGTGCTGACCAATGAGCCTCGCCTCAGCGCATGCCTACACACATGACATTTCGGTAATGCACAAGTTAGCCCTCTCCATTTGCTCCGCAGTCAACAATGCGAATACTTTGGAGCTTAAGGAGGAGTTGGTGGGGAATATCGCGGTACTTTTGTGTAGCTTTGTTCGGTTTTGCCTTGTACACTTACACAACTGAGTACTTCTGGGTTTTGCTATCGACTACGGATACGTACTGGCCTCTGGCATTGGTCACCTCCACATCGCCCTTCGAAGTGGCATTGGAATATACTCTCAGTGCCAACTCGAGCAACCTGACGAAGTGGACAATTCTAGACACACTGGTCCTTAAAGAGGGCTCAAAATCGGTGCAACTAAGTTACGAAGACCTTGTAAATATATCCGACAAACAATGGCGGCCCGACTTTGATCCCAACGTTCAAATGGTTTATCCCCAGGCTTTCAATATCTCGAGCACAGTCGACCAACTTCTGCGTAACGAACCCATCCAGGAGGTTAGCAGTTGTCTTCGTCATTCCTCCCCTTGGATTTACTCTTTCACGTACCCCTTAAGGTTAATTTATCCTTCTAGATTTGACTGAAATTTAAAACACTCATAACCAAAACTTAAGTGAAGTTTGTCACTACCTCCTTTGGTGCAAGGTGCCTCCCTAACAAAGTGCTTCGAGCAGGTCAAAAAGGGCGCTGTTTAGGCGTGAACGATGGCAGCTGACTGATGGCATTGGCATTCATCCACTTGGCTTCAACATAACGGTTAAAATGCTTCTCGAGATGTCTGTGGAGCAAATCCATTTAAAAGTGACCAAAGAAATGCTTTCAATTAAACAAATGGTCGAACCAGCAGCTAGTGGAATGAAGTGCTACTGCTATTACAAAGTAGTCACAGCGGCACTTGCTGACAAATCTGAAGAAACCATTTTTTGTGTGAGTTTTCGCCATTGGATTCTGGACGAAATCGGTCGCTTGCACTGATTAGGGCGGACAGCGGATATTTTCAGACGTTTTAGAAGGTCCATAATATTGCGTCGCCCCCAAGCTATCTCCAAGGGGGAAGGTTGAGAATAGGATAAAGTCCGCGAGTTCCGGAGTTTGGGTTAACTAATGCGAGTGTTTTGTGAACTTCAAAACTAACCAAGTAGCTAAGTAGATTGGCAAACAAGCAAAAATTTAGCTTAAAATGGAAACTGGAAGCTGAACTAGGGTATCAGCATGGATCTCAGACTAAGAGTAGCCTCACATTCACGAAACTTAATTTAAAAAAGGGTTGTGCACAGGACTAACATGACTTAACACTCATTTTAATAAATCTTGGGATCATCACTTTAAGAGCATAAAAGTGCATACCATTAAGATGAAAGTGGATCGTGTGCAAAAGTCTTAAGAGTTCGCGTGCTTGGAGGTATAGCTAAGGGCTAAGATGCTCAGGTCATCTACTTAACTCGATATAAGTAGGTTAATCGATCTCATAAGGTTTATCGCTTCAATCCTAACAGCTTGTTTGGTGATGGAGATGATTGTCAGTATTAATCGTCATGTTGTGAGTCAGTTATCCACTGTGGCTGAAATACGGCAGGATATGTACCATTTAAGCTACAAAAACAAAAAAAATGTTTTCTTCTCTCCACTATTGTCGTGCATTGGATGCTCAGAGAAAGTCCATTGCTGAGAGGATTTTAGAGAGGAAGCTTATGCGTGAACAAGAAGACCAAACTCTCGGGACCGGTGCATGCATACCTAATGAAACGCCTTGTAATTTAGTATTCACCTAAACAAATACGATTTATTATCATGAAATATATTGCAGCAAAAAGGCAGGATTTTAGAGAATATTTTATTTCTCTCCTCCATATAGGCACCAATAAATGGACCCCGATTTCGATATTTGACTCTCAGCAGGGCTGTATGTCATCCGCAAAGTCTTTCCAGCCACCGCTATAACATTGTTATAGTGGTGAAGTCAAACATAGCCAATTTTAACCAAAGACAGGAGTTTCGACGAATCTACAATGAGTATACCAACACCGATGGCAGAGCACTGCTGGGACTACGAGTTGGTCTCGTCTTTTCTGTCGGTATTCCAAGAAGTCAGCAGAACAACATCTTCAAGCGTGGTAAACACGAACTTCGTCTGACTATAAGCGGAGGCAATTTTCTCAACCCCAAAGATCTGCATCGCATTGCAGTTCAGTTCGAGGAGGAACAGTCAAAATTCAATGACCTTATTGTGGGGGACTACGAGGATACCTACTTAAATCTTACTACCAAAACTCACTACTCCTTTACATGGGCTGCCACATTTTGTCGACGGAGAAGGCCCACCATTCTCTTCATTGACGATGATGTGCCTATTTCAGTGAAGTATTTGGTTCGAGTTGTACGTACTCTGCCTCGACAAAATCGTTCAACCTTTTTCCATGGACGCATTACTGGCAATACCCGTACCTTCCGTTTTGAAAACGGAGTCAGCATACCCAAATGGAATGTACTCAAGACAGAGGTTCCATGGCCAAAGTACCAAACCTACATCATGGGTTATTACATTCTAGCCAGCTTTGAGCATGTGGAACGACTAGCTTTGGCGATGCTCTTCACCCAAAAATTCCCCGTGGAAGATGCATGGATTGGTGTAGTGGCGTACAAGGTGCAACTACTTATGCATCCGGTTCGAGAACTGTTTGATTGGAACTTAATTCTGACCAGAATGGAGCACAACTTAACCGCCATCTCCCCATGGGTCTTCAAGTAGCTATACCTCTTTAGTGTCTTGTATTATACCGCTGTATACAAGACAGTCATTGTAATTTGTTCCACTGTGCAATTTATGGCATTAATATTTTTACAACTTAATGGTGAAATAGCGGCCGAGAAACTCCAAGTCGTCTCTAAGGTCCAAGGACATTCCGCTCTTTTATACGTCAATTTGATAGCAAAGCTTGAGAAGTATCCCGTGGCAATTTGCAGGTGCTTGACACGTGATGGGTCTTAGGAGCACTGACATGACACAGACAATGGTCCCCTCGGCCACAGTGAGACTGTAGAGTAGTCAAGCCGTCCTCTCACGGAGACCAAGGCCTCGACATATTGCATCATAAAATCAGCTGAAGTTTAAATAACTGCTGAAAAAGGAATTTTAAGGACACCAAATACCCAGACGAATGGATTTGGTGGTGAAGTAAGCCAACCCACGTTGGCGTTAGCATTTTTATTTTCAAGACAAGCTTCTAGTCAACCAATCAGCAACGGGAAGCATTGATGCAAATGAAGAAGGGACTTGACTCAGCCTTTTGACTTATTAACGCCCATTTATGGACGTAACGTCTAGCTGATTAGCAACCTCCGTGACTCCCTCCTTTCGTTTGGTGCATGCGACACTGAATCACCACTTCACTCATAACGTCAAACTCCACTGCGAGTAAGTAGTTAAGAAGTGATCCAAGTTTTTTTTTTATTGCGTTGGTAGACAAACCGGAATGCTTGAGGAACGAGGTGTTGCTTGCTGAACATTTCTACTTAACAATTTCACAAGAAGTCGACTTTACCACCTCTAAAGTAGCTTTAAAGCCTTAATTACGAAACTGGCAGCTTTTAAGTCATGCCAAAAATGAGCAAACTTAATGCAAACAAAAAAATGAAACATACTTCAGTATTGAGGTACTTTTGTTAGCCACCCAAAGGGGAGTTCACAAACACGAGAGGTGTAAAGGTTTTGTTAGTAAAACAATGGCAGGAGGGCTAAAACTATGCTCGTTGAGGTTTCTTTACCATATCAAAATTCACCTTCACAAAGAGCAGGTGCGTGCTGAGGCTTCAAAGGCAGGCGAGATCTAAAGACTGCATCGTCAACAAAAACAGATAGTGTCTACGATGTCAACGGGTTGAGCAAAAAAAATAAGAATGATGCTGGATTAGCCATTACCTAAAGGGAGCTCTTTTTACTTTGTTTGGTTGCAGTGAAAGCGAATCTCGGTGTGACAGAGAATCATATTATGTGTCTTCATGCAAAAGCCCTCTGTGCCATTCCTACAGTGGCCTAAAGGTGTGTCTGGCAGAGGAAGAAAAGTATGGCAAATTAGCGCATTGACCTTGTGGGAGCAATGTGAAGTGGTCGAACTACTAATTTAATTTAAGCGATTTAGCAAAAGTGCGAAACACTTTACAAGTCGCCTCGTTGTTCGCCGTGCACCAAAGTCTCCACCTACCCTTGACATTCCTTCTCACCCTTCTTGTATTTAATTGCGACTGATAGTGATTATAACAAATCGCCACCCACTTGCTACTTTCTGTCAGGCATCGATTGGTGAATTGGAGGAGCTCATTCCTTGATTTTGAACTAAAGGCCGACCTTTAGGGATAAGGGTTAAGAGCTTATTAAATATCCTGTATGCTTGCTGTTTGGGGTCTAAAAATGCCTCGCACTGTGAGCCTTCGTGAAATGGGTGTTCGCATTAATAAAGGGAATTAATCGCCATTTACGTCAGTCAGCTGCACCATGGAGCTCTGCGATAAGACATATTTTCAGTATAACGACAGTACGTACATAGACTTAATGCAAAGTTCAAGTGCAGAACAAACAGCCGTTGCGATTGGATACCGGCCCTGAAGGTACCTATCGGAAGGTCTGAGGACGAGCAAACAATCAAGCACGGCTTGGCGATGACGCATTGACTGCAGTGGTGACGTGACCTCTGCCTCAGGGAAAGCGGCCACATTTTGCCTCTTTTCCAGCACGCAAGCAAGCCGAGTTCAACGCAGTTTTCCCACTCAAAAATGTCATCGTATTAACACACTCGTCATGAGCGTTTAGTCCTTTTCTCCTCTTTGTCCTACATTCTCGAGTGCCAACTTAACTTGTTGATTTTTGCCTGTAATATAAAGTAGAAGCAGCCCTCTCCCCAACCTATTTAAAGCCGCACAAATTAATCATTTTACTTCACTGTATGACGCCGATCAGGTAACAGAGACGTGAAAGGTTTCAACGCGTGCCTGAGTACGGCATGCATTGAATTACCGTTACATCGAAAAGCAAATTAGATGGGTGTAGTAAACAAACAACTTTTCCAAATCTTGCATTTTAAAGTCACCATTCCCGTGAGTTGGTTGTTTTTGGATGAGACCGCCATTTTACTTTAAAGGTGATAATTTTATTAGGAGTAGGAGCTGTTACTTACAGATCAGGGTCAACTGCGCCTCCGTAAAGGTCTCGCGTTTAGTCGTTTGGAAAGTAAGTTGAAACCCAATGCTTGACCGCTAAGGCTTAGCGTTTCTCTCGGCCTCTTGTGATTGGCTGATGACCAAGCTTAGACGCACTTGTGTGCGCCAATAACCATTCCAAGTCCAAGGTTAATCAAACGTTGTACATACGCATGACGAAGGCGGCCGGGCAGCTCAGCTGGGGGAGTGTCCATCACTCACCTGCCAGGCTAGTGTGCATTTGCTGGGGTTTGAAGGCTTTGTTAGTTGATTGCCTCCCGAAATTTTGCTCTAAATCCTCGTAAAATTCCTCAGCAAGCACTCGCACAGAGGCCTTTCTGAATGAACGATATTTACACTGTTGCACTGTTAAGGCGTATTGATACCCGAACTGAGTAACAGCCAATCAAAACTTCAAAGACGTGAGTGTAGAACCCGCTTAGGCAAATTCACATCAGTCGAAGTGCATGGACGGCGATTTTGTGATCAAGTTGCACACTCCTTACCATTTCTTGCCTCCACAGGCTGAGCGCTTGTGTATAACAGGCCATGGGTAAGGAAAGTTAACATTCTCGTCTAATGGCTATTGCATGGATGTTTTGCGCCTCCACAGACTGTGGTTATGCCAATGAGTACTGTTAAGCTTAATTTACCACGCAATTACTTACATTCCTATTTTGAAGGCCTTTTCGTCACCACTTAACCTTCCAAGCATTACTTGTTTACCCTTTTCATATAGAAGAAGGTAGCAATTCTTGTGTGCATACATCGATAGCATCGTTAGTTTATCATGTGACAGTCTGAGCGGCCTTTTAAGTTGCCCTATAATGGCTTTGTGCAACCAATCCCAATAAAGATGGTAGTAAGGAGATCAACCTGGCGTTTTCACATCTATCATACGTGTGTGTGTGTGTGTGTGTGTCTATCTTGGTAAGAGTTTGTGATGACTTACTGTTTCTTGCAGCATTTCAAAAATGGCTTGTCGGAGGAGTCTAATACTGCAGGGAGTTTTGTGCGTTAGTGCTTTCATCGTACTCATGGATACCTTCTTCTCGCCAGCCCACCGTGCTGATATGGCTAGTAGAAATTGGAGTCTTGAAGAGCCCCTTATTTGGCCCATGACAGTGAGGCAGTACGGATCCGGTTATGAAGTTGTACTGAACTATCAAGTCAACTCCACTAACGCAACCAGATTCACAGTGCTGGGCCAGTTTGTCAGTAGGAGGTGGGCAAAAGGCATGTCTCTGCGATTTGAGGACTTGATGCAAATTCCCGACCACTTATGGCGCCGTCCTGTACATCCTCAGGTTTACAAAACCTACCCTCAAGCTATCAACATCAGCGACACCGTGGACCGATTACTGAGAGACAGACCCATTGAAGAGGTTAGTTTTGGCTCTTTAGTACACTTCAGCAAAAGCATTCTTTGCATTACACAGAGGAAAGCGCATCCCAACGATCCTCTTAACTGTCCATCAGAATTTGCCACGGAGGTGTTAATTGTCTAACTTCTTTTCGTATAGGCGCCAATAAACAACGTAGTATTTCGATACCTCGTAGTTGGTAAATCGGTTTGTCATCCTGACATTGCAGCAAGCCAAAACTACGATGTCGTGGTGATGGTCAAGTCCAGTGTTGCAAACTTCGAGGCACGTGAACACATTCGGCAGGTGTTTAGAGCCAATTCCGCACACTGGGAGCGCCTTCACCTGGGTCTACGATTTGGCTTGGTATTTTCAATTGGTCTTCGAAGTAGTCGACAAAACGTCCTCCAGCGCGGTAACACAGCTTTCCAGCTCAATTCTGATGAAAAAACTGCAAATCGTATTTCTCATTTGCTGAAAGAAGAGCTGACAAACAATGATGATCTTATATTGGGTGAATACGAGGACAATTACTTTAATCTTACACTGAAAATGCAGTACTCGTACTCGTGGATCGCCACATTTTGTCGAAGAAGTCGACCTACTGTCCTATTCCTGGATGATGACGGAGTGTTTGTTGGGATGGACCTGGCCAAAACTTTGATTAGGCTACTACCACGAGGAAAGGACCGTTTACTTCACGGAAAAATAGTTCGTCGAGGACGCGTTTATCGGTATGACAGACCTGGTCTTGAAAAATGGGGCGTTTCAAAGTCGGAGGTGCCATGGCCCGAGTATCCGACTTACCCCTATGGCATCTATGTTCTCATGAGCTACTCAAATATCCAACGTTTGGCTTTGGGCATGTTGTTCACTAAACCCTACCACATCGATGATTCGTGGTTGGGACTAGTTGCAACGAGAATGGGCATGCACTTCCGAAACATCCCGCATCTCGCCTCCAAAGTTCGACTACTGCGAGCTACAAAGGATGCCCTTGGACCCATTGACTGGCAATGGAGCGCCTAAGTCACAAAAGTGCCATCAAATCATTTGTATGCTGAATCCTATTTTATGTTCTCACTTCTTTTCCTTTTGTTGTTTTTTTTTTTATAATAATCACCTCAATGTCTTTCATGAAAGTCTGCTAAAAGCCTCCATCATGTAGTTCAGAGATAGGAATTAACAAAGTCTCCCTCCCTCCCTGTGTACCGCTCTTGCGATTTAGCCTATGCTCAAAGGAGTATTGTTTGAAGTATTACGTTCGTGATTACGCTTACTAGAGTTATACCACCAGTCACCACAAAGTGAGATTGTTAGGTGCCACCCCCAGTGGTAATTATGTGAAAATGTTGAGGCACCTCTCTCCCCATTTTGAAACTTAATTAAGTAGACCTTTGACACCCCCTACTCCCTGCTCTCATAGAGGTGGTGTGGGTACACCTTGGAAGAGGAGGCAAATTGCATTTGAAAAGAGAGTTTGTGAACAGCACAGCCGCAGTTAACGTTTTACTAGCATCGGATAAAGGCGGTTGCGAGAAGCCTTCTACTCAACTTTAATTTGCTAGCCTGTAAAACCTAGACGTGACCGCCCCCACCTCCACACCACCCCCACGACCATTCACTTTATCAGTGGTGCACTCTGCATTAATGCACTCTGCATTGATGCTTGCATGCTTGCTGCAAGAAACAATGATCAGAAAATATATGAAACGTCTAGTGTCTAAAAAGAAATTCCAAAACTTTGGGTTAGAAGATCTGCAGCGATCGAAACCGCGATGTCTGAGCAAACGGAGAAAGTCAGCTTCCACGCATCTTGCAGCAGCTTGGCTTAGTTTGTCCGATTACCAAAACCACTCAGATTTACTTCACCTCAACTTCAAAATACACCCACCCATAGTTAGGCTAACTTGGAAAATAACGGAATTTTGGGATGCAAGGTGAAAGTGTCTCAGTGCCTCGGCTTAGTCAACAATGAGACAGCCCATCCAAGTAGAGCACAAGGTAAAAATTCAACCCGTAGACTGTTTTCCTTATTTCCTTTTAGTAAGATGAAGAGGTCATTTGATTTCTTTGTACTGCAATTGCCTACATCCACCCGTCTTCGTCTGCAAATAGGCTTGGAGAGCAAAATAGTGAAGCTCTATGTAGTAATCCTAAAATAAATAAAGGCGCCATAAGAGTATGTGGTGGCTGAAGAGCACAAGTAAATGCAAATTGCCTTTCCTAGGGCAACAAATTCGAATTTCCTATCTTTCAACAGCTGTAAGTGACGCGTAGAAACACCTCTTAAACACACAATGCACCCAAATTTGCTATCTTTTATCATTTTAGCATACTGATAAGCGTATTGTCCCTTAATTTCCCCCAGATCTGGGGTTGATCACCTTTAAAATTCGTCTCATCCTGGTGCAAACCATTTGCCGTTTTCCTCAATTTCAAATCTGAGAAATATTAGAATTTGATCGCATACACTCACCACGGAATTGACAAATCCCATTTGATAACTGCGTAGTTGTTTAATGATATTGTAGATGTCAACGCCTTTTGCCCCCATTTCGACGTTCTCTTTTATTATTGACGCAACTACGAAAAGACCATTCCTTCCAATGCCTCCCCTAGAAACAAGTGTTTTAAGTTATTATAAAAACATAAGCAGTGCTTAGCCTGTCCACGCTGGTAATTGCTCAAATTTTGTCAAAAAATGGGACTCGATTAGCTCTAAGTTTCTTTCGACCTAACCTAATGGAGTATTGTTAGGGTGCATGGGCTCCATGCCTCCCATTCTTTAGATATCACTACTATCATGCCTTAGATGTACTTCTGCATTGGGGCAACATCTTGAAACATGCCTTCTCCTACACCAAATAGTGAATCAACTTACCTGGATTGAACTACCATGGGTCCAGCCGTGGCTGCGATTGGAACGAGTGGATCGGTGACATCATCAATGAATTTAAGAAGATTTGTAGAGGCTGATAAGCAATTTGTCATCCATCCTACGTACTCCAAGTGGTGCACGAACATGGACTAAAAAAGAAACATTTCATTCGTGAGGTTCAAATAACTTAGTGCATTGAACCTGTGGTAAGATGCTCCAACAGCCCATAGGAATATAAATGCCTTAAAAACCGTTACTTAACATATATAAGTAGAAAGTTATGTGATTACTAGACTACCAGTAGTATGTGGCTAGAAGAAATACAAGCTTCTAAGAGCTTTGCACGTCATCAATTATCAAGGGACTACCCTTGTCAATGACAGACCATATATGCAAATGCCTTTATGCAGGCATTTGTTCCTTGCCGTACTAACTGCCTTAGGTTTTTTTTACCTAAAGCATCGCATAATGACCAATGATAATAATACTACTTGAAGTTTAGAGCAATAAATCAATAGATGATTGTAAAATTTTGTTCTCTTCTATAGCCAACTCCCAAGAACGCTAACATCTAAGACGTACCAAACTTCTTTGACCATCTGGCCATATTCTGAAGCTTCGTTCCACCCACACGGGTTTTCGCTCCTCGTACAGCAACTTAACCCACATTTTTCCGGAAGTAGTTGGAAAAGGGGCCTTTTCATCCACCCCCTGTGGCCAGTATTTTTGCGTCTCCTCCTTGTTTTCTGATGGTCTAAAAGGTTTGAAACATTTCTCACAAAACAGTTCTTTGTATGCATTCCCTACTCAAGCACCTTGTCGCAATGTAAGTACTTTCATCAACCCATTGGTATTGCTCCATGACAACTGAAAGCTTTGCTTTTATGCCTATGTTTTGAGTCTGTGATGCATATCCTGCCCCAGTGTTATGCCGCCTTTTGGCGTCTGTAAAGTCCTGAGCGCTAGCACTGTACTCTCTCACAGTCTCTCGCAGTTAACGCAGTTGCCTCCCTCAGCGATGATGATGGTGGTGGTGATAATGATGATGACCCCCTTTTAAACCGAAAACGATTTTTCCACCCACCAGTTTATTTATAGCCACTAACTACTGCACGACCCCACGATTCGCACCGACCTCCTTGCGTCAACCTTCTCAATTGTCGACAAACGCACTAATAAAAGGTGCAATTTCGCATGCAGACTGTATTTTGTGCAAAACAAAACCACGTCCCCACTCCATCGCATATTGAAAGCACTGCAAAGCAATAAGGTGAGGACGATGATGCAACACGGGATTGGTGCCACAAAATACATTTGTCTTAGAAGCCAACGATAGGTAAGCAGAGTTACCTTCAATGGGATGTGTAGCATAAACCAAAAACAGGTGCTTCTTAAAAGAGGTCTTCCAAGTACTGCTACGAGTAGGTCGACTTTCTCCCAATGACACGCACTACGTACCGCAACCTGATGTGCACACAGCTGTATGCCAAGTTAGGAGGGCATGACAGATGGTTAGTTAACACTAGCCCCCCTCGTGGTCCTTCGAATGCCACTGACTTATGGTGTTACCCTCTTCACGAATAAATAATTCACTTAGGGTAATGTGGCTAATTAGCTGTACACTGGGAAGTTTTATGGTTTGAGCTTCTTCTGGAAAATGAACCTTCTGTATGTGCTTGACGGGATCGCGATGACGAAAGGGAGGCCGCAATACGCCCGCGTGCATCTGCTTTCACCACTACACCTTTACAATGGAAGCTTTGCGTCAGGTGCAGTCGCTTTATAATCCGTATGCTTAATTAATTACCAAAAAAGTGTCTTGCGATTTTGTAGTTTAGTACTGCTTCCATGACTCACCCTAAAAGTCGAATAATAATAGGAACTCGTTGTTCATAGACCATTTTCCAGAAATCGCCAATGGTGTTCTCTAGAGGATCCTGAGTGGTGATGAATCTAGGTCTGGCGATCGACTCCTGAACGAAGACGTTTCCATTGACGTCTGTGTTGCATACTCCGATGTAGCTGGCGTTTATGTAGTTGCCAACTGACGAATGCTAAAAGCGGAGGCCGATTAGGCGCCCTAGTTAATGCCAAAATCGCTCCACCCACCATGGATGGTTGTACTGTTTGAAGTCGTTGAAAGTCGTCCCACGTGCGTCCCAGAATAACTCGGTATCTGTCATCTGAAAGCACGATTTGCATGATCTTTAAATCAACCATTTACAGAACGCCCCCTGACATAAGGAGGACCCCACATTACGTTCGGACGATCTCATAATCAACCTAATTTGGGGGAAAATGTGTTCCCGTTCTAAAAACAAAAGATATCTAGCCAACTTCCATTAAAAAGATGAACAACAAAATCACTACTTTCTGTTAGTGGGTTCACGGTACAGATCAGAGAAGCAAACTTGCATGGGAGAATATGCTTGTAGCGATTTTTGGAGACGTTTCCAAGGAGGGTTCCACACACCGAAGCCTTGTTGCCATTTCTCACCTCCTGAGTGGACTCGTCTGTAAGTCTCTGCAAGCAATAATGCGCTATTAGCCCTCAAACACCAAACTTTGCTGCACTCAAGCCACAGTACGGATATTAGCGATCTATTACTTATCTCGAGACGTCTTGTGAATTCCCCATAAACTTTAGCTATCTCCAGGGCGGTAGTGAATGACAACTTTTGGTGAGCATTAAAAACTCACAGTAAATTGCTCTCGCAGCTCCTTGTATCCCGTGGTGCTCTCCTCGGCTAGAAATCGGTCCAGTTCTGAAAGCGGAATTAACGTCTTTTTGCTGTTAAGCAAAATTGCATAGTAAGTAGGTGGCGTTGGTAACAGGAGAGAATTAAAAGGGGTAGTCAGTGGTCGCCAGTCTTCTCGCATCTAATCAACCAGTCACACTTAGCATTAATTAGACCAGATTAAAGAGGCTTAAACCTTAATTCACATCCTTTGCAAGTCTGAATTTATTGTTCTATCATCTTTGATAGCCGAGCATGAGGGCAAAGGGAAGAAAAACTTACAACATTTTCTATAGCCTCTAAAGTGTTTTCCAAAAGCGCGGTGAGTGGTTTGATGAGTTGGAAGAGGAAAAGGCAAGGCTTCGACAGCACTCACGCCGAAGAAATGATTGCGGAAACATGATGATGAATCGAGCCTCACATTGTGGCATGTGGCACACGAGTTTGCGCAAATCAAAACCCATCTCCAAGTAGCACTCACGCACCCCGTGTCACCAATTCTTTCGCCTCACAGTTGTCTTGACTCTTCCAACCTAAATCTTTCTCTATTCATGCTTGATTAAGGAGCCCTCCTAAGTGTGCGAACCGCTACACTTCAAGGTCTAAGCGCTGGTTACTCAGTCATGTGAGATTTCGTTTTGATACACATTTCTGACAAGCTTTTCTGTCAAAAGACTCCTCCTAAAAGGGGCAAAAATAAAAAACAAATAACGACACAGAGAGGAAGAGAGTGTTAATATGATTCCTAGACCAATTTTCAGTTTAGTGCTCTACCACCCTAGTAAGCAGTAGATAGGTCTGCCAAAACCAAATTGGTTCGAATTCTATGTCTTGGTCGGAACCTCCTATGCCAACATCCCCTATTTGGTTACGCTCCTTTATACGATAAGCGAAGCACTCTGTTCTGCTTCCCAAATGTGAAAAGATAAAAAAACCATTGATTAAGACCTCCAAATCTTTGCAAAACCACGGTTGTTCGAAATGCGCCATCCCGTGTGCCGATGACAGATGCACATTCTACCCCCTAAAGAGCCATGACATTACTAAGATGAACATCTTCTTTGCATAAGCCTTGTGAATACTGCCTGGTTATTGTAACCCTTAGCTGCATTAACTGTTTTCGCTTCATTAAAGTTAATTTTACGGTCGTAATTTAGTGAAAATGGCAAAGAAGAACAACGCAAAAAAACGTCGAACTTGGGTAGTTTTAACCATCTTAGTACAGTGATACAATTGCACACACAAACTTAAAAAAAAAGGAGAGCTACTTGATTGGTGGTCCCTCAAACGTGTTCAAGCTGTTTGCCATACCAACTCATGTATCATATTGCCGTTGTCTACTTAATCTCTTCCAGTAGAAAGCTTTGAATTCAAGTGCTATTCTTACTCATGAGAAACAATTTCCACAAAACGTTGATCCCTATGGATCCAAGGCTGCTCTTAGGATTTTATCGCCCCAGGGTGGTAGCGGTGTGCGTGATTTTGGCGATACATCGGACTTTTAGCTATATAACGGTGGAAAAGTATTCGCTTTTAAAACCATAAGCCGCATTTGATCATATCCACGTATTTTTGTTTAAACACGACATATCCACACTACATTTTCCGCTTACCCTCCATTTTAGCAAGCGATATTGTTAATCCTGGGAGTCGCATCTTCGCTGTAGCAGCTGATCTCTGAGCTATGTTGGGGGACCGAGACCAAACCGGATTTAACAGACTCCTTCCTACAAACAATGCCATGCTTTTAATTAAAGAAATTTTCTGGGCATTAGAAGTCTCCTTACTAGCAAGACCAGACACTTTAAATGAATTGATGCTTACGTAAAAACCCAAGTTTCTAACGATTTTCAGGATGCCTCAAAATGTTGATCAGCATCCATATTTAGCCATAGATTTTCGTTACAATTCCAGTTCCTATTCTTTGCAGGTCAGACACCGAATTGGTATTAAAACACAACTGTAATACCTGCAAAGGGTTTTAAAGCCTTTCATCAGTAGTAAGAACCTGCAGTGATAAATATCTAAGGCACATATTACTTATGAAGCATGTGATAATTAACCAAGAAAAACAAGTCGCTTACTAATCATACTCGTTTAAAAGTCTTAAAATACTTGCATCAAATAAAGCATCATGCATAATGTGACAAAAACGGCGTGTATCTATCAAATACTAAAACTAGTCTTAGCTGCACCTTCTGTCTCAGCATTTGTCTGTCAGAGAACGATACACTATAGGCAAAACTTAAGAAGAAACTGCTGATATCAAGCAATATTCCCGAGTACAGCGAAGTTTTCAAACCATATATCTCAAACACCGAAATCACGGACGCAAGGAGGCAGAAAAGTTCGCGATAAAATCCAAGTTTAAAGAACTTACATAAAACTTAACAGACGATCAGTATCAATTCTGTAGCGTCAAACACAGAAGGGAGCTACACTAAACAACGGTGCCCTAAAACCGTTAACGCTCCTTTAAGGAGTTAAAACAAACCAAAAAGAATTTACATTCGATACATAGAAACTATAAATCCAAATTAACGATGGCCGGATAAAAGCTCTTGGAGTTAGACTAGTTTTAATGCATTCAGCTGAATCGCAGGATAAAAGAAACTTATAAACAGTCCAAAAGGGCAGATATTACAGAACTTATATGTGAATGTAATGCTTTAGCTGTGTGACTACCTGACTTTCAGCGGTCACTTTAGGATTTGTCTGGCCATCGTATACCTGGGCTGGCCTTCGGGCCACTCCCATGCCCACTTGCCCTGTCGTCTTCGGAATACATGTATCCAGCCGCACTTACTGCCTTCTTCCATCCTATGGGAAGCCTCGCGACGCTACACTGGTGGCAGTGGAATGCGAACCGGACATCTTTCCATTGACCTCTTCCCTATCACGTAACGTTTCTTGCGTGTAACTACGGTGTAGTAGAGATGCACTTGTATCGATGGCGGAGGATCTCTACATTCCTCATAACAAAAGGGTCGAGACCGATGTCTGCGTTTGGCTTCACCTTATTCTCGTGTTCCACAAAAAGTTTTTAACAACTGAAGCGACACCGTCGTGAACTATCTGGAAAAGTTTAGTGTCGGAATTTCCCATACAAACCGTACGTACAAACCGAACGTAATACCAGATCCAGTTGAATCTACCGAGGAGACTAAGTATGTTTTCTCAGTCTCATGCTATCTGTCGAGTGGTGCGTTTGGTTCATGGGTGCTTTCATGTGATACCGAATATGTTGTGATGGCTGGTGCTGGAGATGTACCAAAGGAGAGCGCCGAGGAGGAAGAGCGGAGCAGTGTAATGCTTTGTTTTTGTGACTACCTGACGTTTGGTGGTCACTCTAGGATTTGTGTGACCCTTGTGCACGTGGGTTGGCCTTCGGGCCATGTTCGAGTTAATCGCTTTCTTCTCTTCGGAATACATTTATCCAGCCTCTCTCACTGCCTTCTTCCACCCTATGGAAAGTCTCGCGATACTGCACTACTAAATTGGTGTTTAAATAATAACAAAAAATCACACGAAATTTGACACAAAAATCTAAGGATGTGATATTTTTAAGTAAACGTCCATCTAGTCACACATATTAAAGTATTGGAAAAATTTATGCTGTAGTAATCTGAACTTGACATATCAATATGATAGATGACATGCTCCTAATTGAGGTACACTTTCTGAGTCGGTTCTGAAGACTACCTGAATGCTAATAATGACAAAGTGACTTTCTATCGATCCAAGGGCGTGTCAAGTTGAGTTTACGTCATATGGTGGTGCCTACAGCCTCCCTTATCAAAGATAGAGAAAATGTAATGCCACAGAATGCCAAAATATCATTTCAGAGGTTGATAAATGTGCAATTCACTACGAATCCATACAGACCTGAAGTAGAGGGCTCAAGACGACAAACAGTGATTCGATATCAATCCGGATGACGTGCCAAGGTAAAAGTGACGTCATCATTTTCCAGAGTCAGGTCTGGATGGCTGTTAACACCACCACCAGCCATATCCTACCATCTCAAGGCCGAACTTTTGTTGAGGTTAAAGTACATAAGATGACGCAATATGTACTTTCAACGTCCGCTGGGACGTCATTAATTGGTAGCGAAGGTCACCGAGACCTCTTCTACCAAATGGGAGTTGGAATTATTATCTTGCGTTGCTGCTGCTGCTGATTATTATTATTATTATTATTATTATGGTGATGATGATGATGATGATGGACTGTTGCCCTAACGTCGTTGTCTAAACTCAAGCCTTGTTACTGTCGTCTGAGATAGTGTCAGCTGCATTCTTCGCATACTGCATTTCTTCACAGAGCCCGTCCCAGTCTCGACTAATCTTCGGAGCATTTAGAGAAGAGCACTCCTTGTCCTCCTGCCCATGAGATTTAACATTGGAAAGCAGGTCAGCCATACAGAAGAGTGAAATGTTGTGCATGTGTGCAGACCAAATCAAGCATTGAAGCATCGAGAGGTAGGTGATCGTCGGAGTGGTGAGCTGTGCCCACCGCCCCGGTTGCTCTCCTTTGCTCACCTGCCACACAGCTGTCCTGTCCACGTCGCACAACACTGGAGCGGTTCCACGACAGCAGAGCGTAGAGACAACTGCGCGCACTCAATGAGTCACAAGCAAGCACATCCACAGAAAGCAATAGCAGCGATCCCGGAGCACACTTAGAGGAGCGAGCAAGCGAGGAGCAGGACAGAGGAAGAATCTAGCAGTGCCCATCACGCCCACCCACCACTACCACTACTATAGTAGTGTTGCAATCGCCGTAAGTACCGTCGACGCACTGCTCTCCAAATAAGGTACCGACCAGCCATGGCAAGCAGGCCGACCGCATCCACCGCGGTCACAGCCGCAACAGCGGTGGCGTGGACATTATCTTCCACTCAACTCGGCTGCAAGCTGTTTTCCTCAACCTCTTCCGCCTCCCATTGTCTTGCCAATAATTCCTACCCTCACAACATCTCCTAATCTATTCATTTCTCATCTTCATACCAATGCACTCACCACTCACCCCCTTTTCCACACAAGTTCCATATCTACTTTTGCCCTGCCGCTCATCGTGCTTCAAGCCTTCCTTCTCTACTTCTCTCCTCCTAGCAGTGTCTCATCTTTCCTCTTCTCAAATGCTCCACCCTTATGCCACCTGCACGCACGCACGCACTCACACACACTCCCTTAGTCGAATTTTACTCGCTCCACCCCGTTGAGCTCCTTCCGCGCATTCGTTCATTCATTGCTACTGTTTTAGCTTCAGTAACAACGTTACACCCCACGCGTGCTCTTAAGATCCATAAGTGATGCAATTGTGCTTAATTTTTTAACTTTTTTCACTTTTGCATTTTGCTTGTTCCACTCGTTTCAAGTAACATGTAGTGGGTTAAAAGATTTTGACTCGCTTACATCTGACTAGTAAGAAGTGCACATCGTTACGATTGCTGAAGAAACGCTAGGCGTTGGGTTTTTGATTTTCCTTTCATCCAAGCAGTTTTTCTTTTCCAGGACTTAAAACATCCTACACACCTGATGGCTTCCAAGCTGGGAACGTATTTTTCCTTAAATTCTATAGTAAGGCCTCGAGCACAATGTCCAAATGGAATTAGTGTCGACACCAGTTAGCAGGGAGGAGAGCGGATCAAGAAGATTAGGTTTGTCAGAAATGTGTTACCTCTTAGTGCACCCTGAATTTCTGCCAAAATAACTGCTAGTTGCCTTCTCGTTCGAAGTGCTTCGCAGATGAAGACAACCTGGAACCAGGACTGAAGGCACGGCTCTCTGCTCCATTAAGCACAAGTCTCGAGGTGGGCAGAAATTTTAGTGAATGGAGCAGTGGCGCAGTGGAGCAGTGACCTGTGGGGTAAAATGCACAAAAATCTCGAGGCGCCAGTGGCAACAGGGCGCTCCTCCTCTGGCCTTTGGGCTCAAATCTTTGGGTGGGCATTGGCATTTCTTCTATCTCCAACCACTTCATCCTGTTCTCACTAGTTGACCTAGTCAACTTCTGAGCTACGCAGTCCTATCAAATGAGAAGCTTCTATGACCAAAAGAACAACTACTGCATTACGCCCTACAATCCAACATTCTGCTATGTCAAAAGGGCAATTCGTTTGATGATTTATACAAAAGTGGGCGTTAAAGAAAGGGAATGAGGAAATGTTAATCAGTGCCATACTACTGATCCCCTTCGTCTTACCACTTCTGATCGCTTTCGAGTTGTGATGAAAACACTGTCTGTATATTTTTCTTTCACCTTCGCTTAAAGTGCAGTGCTGCACACTCACTCGCTCCCTCGAGACGAAAGATGGAGGTGGGCGACTTGCAAATGACAATCAGACAAGAGGCACTACCATTGTTGCCAGTTTGTACTAACTCGATGTGCCTCCATCCCACACGACCTCCGATGAAATCGGACATTTATAACTGGTGAATTGGCGATTTGTACATCGAGGCTGCCAAAAAGGCAGCATAGAGCGGAATGAAGGACTGCAAAGACTGCTTAACTAAGCCTAGAAAGCACAATGTTCACATGGTTGGCATCCATTCAGGAGGAGGGAAATTTAGGCAATTACGGCGTTAACACGATATAGAGGGCAACACGATCGCTTTAGCGACTCAAAATGATGCATGACTTGCAAAATAAAGCACCACAGAAGTCCCCTCTTATTGTGAGGGACGTAGCTGTCGACTCCCTCCTCCTTATAAAACAAAAAAGCCTCTAACGCCATCCAACACACTCACGAGCCGCATCCACCAGTCACCAACTTGGTCTTAGCGTACCTCAGCCTTCACGTTGGTATCGTTTGGATCTTACAGGTTAGTCCACTCCGACGACTTCCACGACTCTGGAGTGAGAGCATTGGTATAACAAGTAAATTCGTAAAGAGAATATAAGGCGAGAGGAGAAGTCAACGCCTGCGGAAACTTGGCCAGAATAATCATGGTAGGTGCCGCTGCCACTTTTAAGAGCTTCACTGTAGCACGCATAAATGGTGAAGCAAGTGAAAGTGGTAAAAGCCGTTTTTAGTTGCCTATCCTTTGTCACAATCTCACTTCTCTTCTCCCACTCCTGGCTCGGGCACTTATTCGCACAACTAAAGCCAACCACAAAGGTTGTAAACCGGGTAAAATAGGCTCTAATGCCGTCTTAGATCGCCTCTGCCACCGACGTTGATGGTGAATGCGATTGTAACACCACAACATCTTTCCGTGCCCCAACTTCCACCGCCACACCTCCAATCGGTCCCTCTCCATGGCGCCAATTTCACACGGACAGATGACAGAACCGTAAGGCGCCTTCACCGACGTGTCCTTCTCATCGTGTGTTTGAAAGCCATTCGATGTCTTGTTCCTACGTGAAAGCTATGGTGGCGTGTATAGTTGGATACTCATCTTAAAACCATCTCCCATGTCGAACCCACTGTCTTTCCCTGAAACGCGGGTACGCAGTTTAAAGCAATGAGCAGAGATGAGAAAATATTGGTTCATCAAGAACCACACAACTGATATTTTTTTTCCTGTCAATGACATAAAATGGGGAATAGGAGGTAAAGAGGCATTAGGTGCCATAGAAGCGTTTGATTTGGTGAGACTGGATGCACCAAAGGTTGAACAGACCAACAAACGAAAGGAAGGCAAACAGAGTGACCAGAGTGAGCGCCAATGCCCATCCAAACAGTCGAGGCACAAGACCGGAGGAGGCGCAACCACTTGCTACTAAAGCCTCAAAAATGTAGTGCATATTGGCACAAGGTAACACCTTCGTCACCAGACCGTTGAGAGCATCAGTGACCGCTTGCAGAATCGCCTTCATCAGTTCCATCAGCTTTGGCTTTATTTTAATCTGCAGGGTGTTATTCAAGTTCGCATCGTTTTGGAGACCCTAAAATTGGGACGTTGCAGGTGGAGGAGGAGGAAAAGGTGGTGATGGTGGTGGTGGTGATGGACTGAAGCTACGATTCTATGCGTGCGGATTGTTCTACAAATCCGGGTGCATGCATCCATGAACGGTTGCATCGGCAATGATTTAGGAGCATAGAAAGGTGACGCACCTCCACAGTTTTCACCGCATCATTGATGTACGTGAGAAGATCGTCGGGCAGAGTGGACTCACTGGCGATACCTTGGTAGCCATTTTGCAGCTCCATAATTTTGCCCCGCTCATTTCTAAACTTTTCGACGGTTGACTTCAATTTCAGTGCCACTTGATTGAGGGATTGTTCTTTATTCACACTGTCCACCAACTTGTTCAGTTGTTCCATGTCCACTTTAGTAAACTTTTCCAATTCTTTGACAGCATTCTGTTAGAAAGGCAAAACGTTTTGATTAGTCCCCATCTTGTCTACTGCTGTACACCCCTCATTGAAGGCTAGTTGAGAAATGCACAAATTTGGAGCCCAACTTCACCCCTTCTAACTCAATTGCTAATTTTATGGATACGTTGGGGAAAAAGGAGCTTTGCTCGTGTTAATTGTGATTATGTTTTTGGAGGGAAATGCGTCCGGCGTAGTGAAGTTAAAGCTTACCTCCGCGTTGTACGCCTGTAGAGCACTTCTTAAGATATTAACGTGAGGCTTCATGGATTCCAAGTTTGGTATCAACTCAGTGGGGATCGCCTTTGAAATTCCCTTGGCCATTTCACTATAGGAAGCAAAGAAACACAAACGATGTTTTAAGGAAGCCGACAAAAACTTGGCGAAAGCACCTTCTACACCCCGAAAAAATCTCCTCGTCAGAGTCACGTATTCATCTCATTAAGCAAGAAATTTTGCTGGAGCAGCAAAACCAAACAGATTAAAGGGAGAGCAGTAGACCTACTCAATTATATCACTAATTCTCTTCTTGAAGTCATCACGGTCTGCAAATTTAACTAAATTCGCTATCCTGTTGATGCCAACACTGGGGAGTAATTTGGGATCACTTTGGGCTGTGGGGACACAGACGACGCTCAAAGCGTAGAGAACATTTCGGGGAGGTGAGAGGTCAAGGAATTCGCCCTGTTGCTGTGGCCACTTCTCTGTCACTATACTGTTGAGAATGTAGTCCGTCTGATTAATCCCCCTCTCCTTGTACGCATAGGGACACAACTCCACAGCCATTATGCTGCTCACCACCAGTATCACCGCCGCCACGAGAGACAGAGCGATAAGAAGGATGAAGAGGATTGAGCACGTGAGGAAGCGACATCCACCACAAACATGACTTCGCCATTTCGTGCGTGACACCTCCGCAACTGTCAGTAGAGACGGAGGAAGAAGAGAAAGTGAATCACCTTTTAGTTTGTGCATTCAAATGAAGTGGTGGAAAGTGGAAGGAGGAGGAGGAGGAGGATGAGGGCGGACGTACGTTCAGACGGCGCCTTGCCAGTGGGAGAGAAGAGTCGAAGATAAAAGGCCTCAACAATGAAGAGGAGGAGGCAAGCGAAGAAGATGAGTGCAATGATGGCCATCACCACTGCTATTGCGTAGAGGGGAGGACTGACGTAGGGTCTGGCCTTGTCAATGTACTCTGGCACTGTACTTTCCACAATCTCCAACTGTTGTTTGACTGAGCCCAAGCTGCCATCGAGTTGTGTTTGAAGGTCGTTGAGTGCCGTTGAAAAATCCATTTTTGACACAATTTCGGAGGTCATTTTGTCTGGCATTGCGTCCAGTTCTTTCTGCAGATTCTCGAGCGTTTTTGCTACGTCTTGAAAGCGGGTGGCCACAATTTCCACCCCATTGGGGCCTTGAGGACACTTAAACGCTTTTTCATTAAAATTCAGTGAGAGAATCTTCCACTCATCCTAAAATATGCAAAAAATTAACATTTTCGAATCACATTGCGTCTCCCAAATCACAAGTGGGCACTTCTCCAATCTTCATCAGCTCCGATTTTTGGTGGGATTTTTTGCAGCCCTACCACTGGCTTGTTCATAAGAGAACAGTTACGCAAAGAAAAGAAGCACAGAATATGATTTTGGTGCTTGCCTCTTTAATGTGGCACTTGTTCGGTTGTTCGCATGTCTTCTTGATTTCTTCATGACATTGTGCGAAGCTTTTATCCAATTCAGTCGCTTCCTTGATCGTAGATTCGCAGTTTTGATCAACGAAATCGGCGCTTTTCTCCAGGCCTGCAAATCTCGTGCTTAGTTTAGTGGTTTCATCGAAGACTTTGCCGATTTCCGTAACAACTATAATCTCATGGAATAATTCAGTTGTGCCTTGTTGGACTGTGATCTAGAGGGACGGAAAATTGACTGCTAGGCGAAAGTGAAGTTGTATGTGACTATTCACCCAATGCAGAAGTTGCATTAAGACCTTACACCTTGCGTCACTCCGTGGTCAAACAAAACAGGGCTCACAACTCGGTCGGGATAATTGAAAGAATGAAATTTTCTACGCCTAAGACACTTCATTGGATACGGTCAGTGTCCGGCATGCCAATGAAGTCAGAGGACGGTTAAAATTGTGAAAGCTGTACGAGAAACAGCTGTCTTAACTTTTAACAGATGAGCCACAGGCGATGGAAAAAGTTGCCATTGCGTAACACTTAAAATGAAGAGAAGAAGTGATTTAGAAAATGAACTTACCTCAATTTTACCCTTCACGTCGTCCAGCGTCGTGTTCATTGTGTCAATAAGGTTGGTGCTACTTTCCTCCAGCAGTACAATCGTCTGTCGGATGACAAAAGATACGGTGCCAGCCAAATTGTAGTAGGAGGATTTGTTTCCCAACCAATCGATCACCTCGTTCTTCTGGATATTCGCATCACTGGACGGTTGCCCCATCACCTCCGTCACCTGACGGGCGGCCATAATGTACACAACCACACAGATAACGAGGCCGATCACATAGGCGATGGCGAGAATGAAAGTGAAAAGGTGGCAACCACAACAAAACCAGCCTTGATGTTTGTGTACGAATTCGGAGCGTTGTGCAACCTCTTCTACTTTATCCATTATCTCCTCTTGGCGCTCCTCTATTATGTCCCCGACGGCAGTTGTCTTGTTAAACGTGAAGAAGTTTACCACATTCTCAACAAAACCCTAACCAACAAGAACACATTAAATTTTATTTTAATTTTATTTAACTTAAGATAACATAATTATGCTAAGTCATTAAACTTTTGGGCCTGTTTTATGCACTCTCTACTGAATTGCATAATCAGTAGTATGATACCATCAGTCGTATGGACTGCATGGTAGAATTGAATTCATATTTTGTGACCATATAAAAATCCACTTCTAGATACTGGGCTTTTTTAAAACCCGCTAAAACTTTTTTGTTTTGATGGGATACAAATCAAACGCCATTCGATAATGCTTACCGCAGTAAGGAAAGTGGGATAATTTAATGCGGAGAAGTGCTACTTGAGGGGCGGCTGTTCCACAGTGAAGTCAAAGTTCATAAACTTAAGCTCATTTTAAATTACCTGACTTACTTCTCACATTGATAGTCTTGAAAAGATGGTCAGTGCTGATACAAACTCACGTAGACGTAAAATGCATGTGAACGGAGGATAAGCGGAGGGAAGGGGGAGAAACTATTAATTTACGTGGGTGTCTGTCAAACAGGGTGTGTGGGTGCAAGATGTGACGTTCGTCAGACCGTCTAATTGAATTTACGTAAGTCAATCCATCTGGTGCATCAACTCGCATCTACGTCAGTCCAATCCAATCGTTTACCTCTCAACATTTGCACACAGTTCACTCCTTTCCATCTCCACTGTCGTGCAAGACTTTTGTGATTAAAAATTAACATAGAAAGCAAGATATTGTGTACTTATTGTGGCATTTATGTAAATGTCAGATAAGTGGAAGGGTTTAGACCTTAAATTGGCTTTTAAAAAATGGAAAAAGGAGTGCGCATAAGTCAGTGACCTTCCATCGAACTGCAACTCATCAAACTCAATCCTTGATGTTATTGAAGGTCCCTTTTCTTTAGCCTGAGAGTTTCCAAAGACCTCAAAATGTTGAAGGCTTGAAGTGGGCAACAAGCATTGGTAGCCGTCTTGGAAAACAAAGAAACCAACACTTTCCATGGCTACAGTAGGATTTGCAACGGTTTGTGACGGCGCTAATCACTAACCTTTGGTTCATCATCGCTGTCGTCTGAATCGGAATCGCTGCCATCCCTTTGTCCATAGAAGGCATAGCCGTCGTAGCCATTGTCAAATTGTCTGTCATTTGGAGGACCATCTCGACTTTTACCACTGTCCTCTGCTCCATTGGCTTCAACAGGAGTTGTCTTTGGCGCCTCCTTACTTGCTTTGCTCTTTTTGCCACTCTTTCGCTTCTTGCCCTTACAGCAGTGACAGCATTCCTTGCAGAATTTGCAAAAGTTGATGAAAATGAGGCCGATGATGGCAATCAGCATTAAGATTGCCGCCACCACCGGTCCAATCACGAAAATGACCTCTCGATTGGGATTGGCTCGCGCCTCTTTGACACCTTCTTCCCCACCTCCAATGCTCACGGGAAAGGATTTTAACACCTCTAGTGGTAATTCGTCTCCGGATATCATAAGCACGCCCTTCACGTATTCCATCAGGCGGCTATTATTCATTCCAAAGTGGTAAGTCGTTTGTTTTGATGCAGTGTCATATTCGGGAGTGAAGAAGACATTGAGGAAACCACCGTTGATGCAACGCAAGATATAGTCGAAGATGATGGAGACGAAACTCATTACCGAGAGCTCGATCATCCTGAAATTGGAAAGGTGGGGCGCTCTTTAGGAAACCCTAAAAATGTTTGCCTTGATGATGGTGATGTTGTTGATAATAAGGAGGAGGAGAATGAGAAGGTATTCCACTGGAAAATCTGTGTAACCGCATTACTTTTTAGCTCGGGATGAAAAAAGTCGCTCTTTTTTTCGATTTGAACATTCTTGGTATTTAAAAAAAATGCCTGTTTTCGGTGCATACACACACGACCATCGGGTTCGAGCCCCAATTCGGTGCTGCAGCCTCATCGCATTTCATTTCTTAAGGTCAAATTGATGATCGATGATGAAACTGACGCGTTAGAGTACCGAAGAACGCTTCTTCAACCGTCTCTTGAAGCTCCAACCACAGATCTCCGTGTTGGATGCATTTAGGTGAGCAAAAGATTTTCTCCAGCATGGATAACGCTTGTGAGCTTTTAATTTTAACTTCCGAGGGACACAAACTGGAGGGCGTCTTTGCTGCACATCAACGCGCCACCTACACTTGTGACAGTCCGTCCACTCACTCGACACCATCAAATCTGCCTGATTGCTATCACAATCTCCTAATCCAGTGCGGTGAGTTGGACGGAAAGCGATTTGATGTAAAACAATAGCACAAAATTCAAACCACACCGCTTGTCCACTTTTGCTGAACTAATTTTACCAGAATTTGCCAAGAAGTTGTAATTTATAATGCCAAGTGGGATGCAACAAATGTGTGTTTATGGTGTGAACGCGGCGCCTCAGGTCTAGCTGGTGCGGATGTGATTGCACACAACTCGTCTATTCATCGAAGCCACACACTCCACCATCACAAAATGGGCTTGAAACACCGAACCCACAATATTTTTAAATAAAACGCCATAAAAAGGCGTAAAGCAAGACTTACTTGAGGTGAGTGACGAATCTAAACGCTGCTCTCTAAAATAACCACCTTAACAAGGCGAGCGCCTTATTATACTCATTCGGAGGGTGCGAGTGTGTGTGAAAGCGCATTCACACACGCACACACACACACTAACACACTTCAATCAATTGTGTGTGCGTATGTAGTAAGTGGAAGCAATTTGTTGCTCATGTTGTTACTGTGCTACCTTTTGATGTGTTGACTCTGATGACTAAAAAGTTTTGTGTGCTCAATGAGTCTTGGCGGGCAAATCCATCCCACCCCTACGCACCACTGTGCACTCCCCCATTCGGGCATTGAGACGTCCAAAGAGGGTGGGCGTTCAACGTAAGACGTTTGACTGTTCCACTGGATTGTACTGCTCTCCCCTGCTCACTCAGTGACTTCCATTCCATGACGGAAGACGTCAGCGGCGGAAGGAGGGGCTAGTTGTGAGATTTTAAAGGGGACTTTGCTATGGAGTCGGCTCTGCTTCCTCGAAGCTCCTTACAAAATCGAAAGGTTGTTCCTCTCCACCCCGTCTTGTAAGAGCATTCAGCTTTCTTTTTTTTAAGTAGCGAGAGGTCTTCCGGGTTTATTCTGATGCGTCCCCCATCTCAAGTGCTGTTGCCAAATTAAAACCACTTATAAACGACTGCATTTGCCTCAACTCAAATGCTAAGGGATGACAGCGACACTTTGAGTCGACTACAGCCCAACAAAAGCGGAAGTGATGCTAAACTCCCACCTGTTGATATGATGAACTTTTCAAAGAGGGATGCACAGAAGTGGCAGACACCAGTTTATGGCACGCCTGATGGCAGAAAAGGGGAGGAAAAATTGACCAAACCTTTTTGCTTACAAGTGCTCGGCCAGCAGAGTGGAAGCCACTCTTTTGTTCGGTGAAACCCGTACTCACAGGTTGTCACATTTGGTGTCAAATAACTGTCACTCGTACGCCGTCGCATTGTGGAGTGGGCGAAACTACTTAACCTAAAGTGAAGTCGGTTCGCTGCCTGCCAAGAACTGTAGGTGTGCAGATCTACACGACTCCTTTAATCTCCCAATGTGATGCCTTCCGAGCAGTATACGTACTTTTCTTAACAATTTTTCACGCCTTTTTGCATGCCCTCATGAGAAAGGAAGTCTACACGGCAAATTAGGTCAAAAATGTTCTAATTGTGATGGCAGTGTGCCCCAACCACCAAGCAGAATGCGTGCCTAATGCCTGTTTGAGCATTAGGGACTAACCCTCCAAACCAAAAGCCACGTCTTTAACCACGCTGAAGTAAAGAATCCCTAAAAAGTCTTTAGCAGAACCTTTTTAAGTTACCAACGTGTGTGGAATCAACCAAATCATGGTGATACAAACTGAGGTACGAGCAACACTTCGTCTTCCCAGTGTGTCATCTCTTCCATGCTTGATAAAGAGTGGGCACTGGATGCACAGCAAAGTGGGAACCAGCATGAACTGATTTAGTAGATCTCGCGCTAAAACGATTAAAATTTTCCTCTGCTGTCGGTAAAGGTCATCATTAACAAGACAACAATGAGTGTGATATGGGGCATGGAACGAAAGTTGCAATTTCCGATTCAAGCAGATCATTGTTCCTCATTAGTATCGTTCGTTTCACTTGTTGGACGCGCGATCAGAAGTTGGACTGACTTCGACTCCACCCTCAAATCGACACGTTGCCAAGCTCCGGTCAGCACAGCTCTACTCAGTGGCGTTATGCATGATTTGATGTAAGCTTTGACTTTGCTCTACTTGTGCAATGAACTCACGAGAACTTGCCGCCGATAGCATGCGATTGCAATGATTGCCATAGCAGCACACTGAGGTAGTGTGGACGTGTACAGGTTGGAGGATTCACTGCTTTTAGTTGCGACATTAAAATCCAAACGGTTGTCACATGCTGTCGGACAGCGTCAGTGCTTGTGTGCGGGAGCATGACAGAAAGTAGATAGATACACTATTAGAGAGAACATGCTCGAGGAATGAATAAGAATGAAATCCTTAATTAACTGCTACAACTAGGAGTCCTCTCATTTCCCACGCCTCAGTAGTTCATGCTTCTAATCTCATTCGCCTTCATTCATACCCAATTAAGGCTATAAAATACTGCTAAAGGCGTACCTTGGCAATCAAACGTTTGCACTGCATACACTTTGCATCTTAATGCACCAGTCAACGGCGTCCTGGAAGTACCGCCTGCCGTAGTTATGAGGGTGGAGTCCATGTTGGTCATTTTTAATTCCTAGGCGTGCGGAGTGAGTTCAGCCAATGAGAAGCCTCGGTGTTGGCGATTTTTATTGGCTGCTGATGCTGGGAGGCATCGAGACTTTAGGACCCTTCAGGGCGATGGCTAAAGCAGAGGTAGTGTGAAGTCAAGTGTGTCAGTGCCAAATATAGTGAAAAAGTCGCCTCGAAGCAGGGTTTATCCAAAGACAGAACGTGGTTTGGGCGGGGTGAACAAAACCCTTGGACTCGAGGGTTGGCCTCCTTCTCTCCCACGTCATCTACACTCCTTCGATCTCATACACTTTTTAGGAGCTCTACCAAAAGTGGAAAGTGGAAGGGAACCACAATGTAGCCATTTTAAAACAACCCTCCGCTTGATTTTGCCGTATATGCAATCAAATTTTAAAATATAAGGTGGTTTCATTTAATACATTAACCGACCTGAGAGAGGGACCAAATTAACCCTGACTTCTCTTTGGACCGCAAAATAAACCACCGTGATCGGCTTATATATGAATTTTTATCTCGATGTTTAATGTAATGTCAAGTGCGATCCTCCAGTGTTGTGGCTCCTTGATTACCGCATTGTTGTGGCGTCACTGTCAAAGCAGGTGGGGCAATTGTTGGTGTGACGTGTGTAGACCTTCGCTTGCCAGTAAAAAATATGCGAGCGGTGATTGTTAAAGTACGCTCTGCTATTGTTAGCACCAAATTATATTCTTCAAGCATTGCTTCATCAAATTGTGGCGTTTGACTTTGTGATTGGCGTCAACCAAAATGTTACGATTTCATTAAAGTAGCTTTAAACGGCTTATTTGTTGACCTTCTTTAGATTTTCAAGTGACAAGTTTATCAAACAAAGCTGGTGGTTGGTCACAATCTTCCTGTCTACATCTCATATAAACGCTTAGCGATACTACTTAATTAAGTCTGGCAGTAGAAAGTCCTCACCTTAATGACTAGTGATGGAGCCTTCCTTGTCCATGCTTTGTACGCCGTGGAACCTCCACAAGGACGTTCTTCAGAATTCTTTAAAAAAGTGAGAGTCGAAATTCCTTCACTGGCTGAGCAGTAGCAAAGGATAATGTTTATGCCACAATTAGTTGTTCGGTTACTTTAGTGTTCCTCCTATCCTCCGATAGATTGAATGCCAATGGGATCAACTACAACCCCTTCGATTACACCCCTACGCTTGGCACTTAAGGTTGCATCTTATGTGTCTTACAACTCCTCCGCCACTTAAGGTAAACGGTAGCGGTAATTTAATCTCTGCAATTCCTCATTTGTAATGCAAATTGGAGCTGTTCCACGCACCTGCACTCCCCTGCCACTATGAGCAGTTAAATTTCACCTTCGGCACTCCAAAGCATTGGTCTCTACAAACGTGTAGCTGTTTCTTTCAGCCTTTGCTCCGACATGCGACATTCTCCAAACTGTGTACCACAACAGCCTGCCTCTAGTCGTATTTTTGACAACGCATTAAGTGAAAAGAAGCATAGAAAGTGAAGTCGGTGAGGGATCTTCTCTCCACCAGACAAGTGGAATTGTCGCATCGTCCGGTAGTCGATGTTGTACTACTCCACTGTGGAGGTCGTGTAAGTGTGGCACCATCAACAACTGAACAAGCAGTGCTGTGCCAGAAAAACCTCCTTAAACTCACCTCAACCAACTGCATCGCATTCGCATTTTTCACCCATCATGGCCATCGAAGTGATTTTAGTAGATTCAAGTGTGCTACTTCCATTTCTTGGAGGTGTGCTGCTGCACCGCACCTAAAAGGGCTCTCCGTCTGCCAAAAGCTAGGAGTTTGGGACAAGACAATTCTCCCTTGTACGGACACAAAGGGGATTTATTTTAGAGCGTCGGTGAGTTTTGCAGTGGACGCCTTCTGACAGGTTGCATCGATGTGGGAACCAACCTTCACTCCTTCAATGTGCTGACCAAGTCGCTTGACAGATGTTGGGCAACCGCTAGAAGTTGCTTCAAACTTGCTCCAGCATCAAGACAGGCGAGAAAGCGCCGAAATCGCAGTGGATGCGACTAATTGCTCGCATCTCATTTATTAAGTTTGCCTCTCCGCGTTGTGTTCATGCACTGCTCTTGGTCAACCAAAGTGTTGTAAAGCCACTAACAAAAGTCAGCCGACAGATATTTTAGGCGCAGAAATCACCTTACTGTCACCACACTCCTACGAGAGGCTAAGGAATCGCATTACACAACTCACCCACTCCAAAGCCACTACATCGCGCAAAGCTCAAAAGATGATGCAGACAAAAATGCTAAGTAATGGAAGTGTCTTAGCAATCCACATATATGTCGCTGTCGTTTGGATGGATGAGTGGCAGCGAACCACCGGAGGCGACCTAGAGTTGCAAGGGAGGACAAAAAAACCTTTCCGGAGCGTCTCGATCGCCAACATTACCACTAACCTTGCTGACATTCAACATTCACCAGTGGCTTTTACAATTTGTAACCTAAAATTGAGGAAATGAAGGAGAATGTGGATTAAGTTGTCATCTCATCACTTACATTTCGCATGATCGGATGGTAATTAGAGCATTCCAAAGTACAAGTGAACCCACATTGTGGATTCCTGATGTCAGCAGGCCGATAACTTCTCGAGGCAGACTTGAAGTCATTTGCAAGAGCACGGCTCTCAATCACCGCCTTGTTCTCCAATGCCCCACAGGTGGTTCTCAACTCTGTTTGAATTGCTGCAACGTTGTGTAACTCGTGCAAATACTTATGACGGCAAAGGTGACGGGGGTTGAAAAACTAAATCTCGTTTGAGGAATCCACTTTGTCGAGGTTCTTTACCTTTTTCTCGTCATCCTCCTCCTCAAGTCAGCTCTTTTGGTCTTCTCGCATTAACTTTTGGCCATTACAGTCACCAAAGTCGCTGCTTACAGTGAAATCAAGTAACCACAGCCCTCACGATTGAACATACTACTGAATAAGGAAAAAGCAATGAAGGCGCACTTGCGATGCCGTATGAAGAATGGTGGTTTCTTACATTTTAAGGTTCTGTGGTACGTTAAAAAACTAAGCGAGTTTGTTGGTTGGACAACAGGAAGCTTGACTTGTAGTGGCTTGCTTGTTCGACTGCCTGCAGGTCATTTGTGGCGACCATCGTGGTTGTGTCGTGTGGACTGACCTGTAGGTCAAGTCTGGGACTCTCTGCCACCAAAAGGTAGAAGGCGACTTCAATTCCGGTCCTTGCTGTTTGTGATAAACTTGTGAAGTGCAAGTAAGCCGTACTGGCTCTAAAATTGGGCGTTTCGCAGCTCTTCCCACCAGAAGGATTGTGAACGGTGTCTGTATTTGGCAAGCTATCATCAATTAAAGCGACACTGCCCTGAACCCCTTGGATTATTTCGTGTTGGACTTACAAACCAACGTTGGTGTATGGACGTTGGTGATGACACTTCACAATTTTTCTTCTCTCCACAAGTTTCCCTTGCTATCGCACTGTTTTAGACTTCGTAAAAGTCGAGCCCTGTGAACAACTAAAAGTTGATAGAATTTTAAGCTTTGCATGTCTAATTTAAGGTGTAACGAAAGTCTGGATCCAAGTGAGGCTGACCAGAGGATCAAGTACATTGCTCCCCTCGTTAGACTGCCAACACATGGATCGACTGGCTAGTGAGTGTACCCTTGTATCGGCAAAAAATGATGTGTCGAATAGGACAGGAGATGCGTTGAAGGTAGCGCAATGCAACGTTCTGTTTAGTAGGCTGCCTGTATTACCAAGTCATGCCCAAATTTCTTTTTGTCTAACTATCCGTATTCAGCCAATTCCGGCGGCTCCTATTGCAAAAAAAGGGGAAGCTCTGAGATGCTACTCCCGTTCAGTCTAAACTATGGCTACAGCTTCCTACTAACCTGCAAGAAACCGGTTCAAGCATTCAATTCTTCATTCCCTCCTCGAGGAAATTCCACAGGCAATACATGTGTAGAGGTTAGATAGACCTGACCTCTACAAAGTCAATGCATTGTAGTGGAGTGTGCAATTGGGCACAATTGGCACTCCCCATAAACAACTGCACATCTTAAGGTCGTGAATGAGGTAGAGAAACACCGCTTGCACACTGAAAGTTTAAACATTGAAAAAACAATCAAATAAAACCCAACTTTAGATTACGGCTAAAACTTAGCATCACAGCATCGAATTTGGATGCAGTTCTTCACTACCTGCCTCTTCCATTGTCATCGAAAATTGCACAACTCATTACAAAGTTAGCATTTTTATGAAACTCCTCACTGAAGCATGATATGCGCATGCCAAAACTAAAAAAAGTATTTTTGCTAATAATGGTGTATATTTAAAGCCCAACTTATCACCTTTGCAGCTCTTATGTATCAAGAGCGTAGTACTTTTGGATGATGACTAGGGCTCATCTAAAAAGCTTGACTTTAAAGTTGAGTGGAAAGAAGCATGCACGCACGCTCAAACTTTGCAGGCGCATTAGAATGGGACTAGTCACAAGCCAGCTGTTTGGAATCTCCGTTGGCCCAAATTAAGACGCTACTTATTATTGCAAGTAGCATGTGTTTTCTCATTGAATGCCAATTTTGACGAGTACAGATCAACCTGTGTATTGGCTTTACTTGGCCAATGGCCCCTAACACAGAGTTCTTAGCAATTCTCTTCCTTTTCATGCCACTATCGTGCCTATGATGTTCGTATGCATCGAAAGCATGAGAACCTTTTTAGCCAAGCCTTTAACCGAAGTCTGATTTGATTAAGCAGTGTGACTGAATAGTACTGAGGCAATCTGTAATCTCATCACAATCATCGCCACATAAATGAAAGAAAATATGATGGCGGTGAGAATACTGATAAAATTAATGATCTCGACTACACGTATCGGCCCAGTCGAACAGTTTTAGGCTCTCTGTGGCTAGCGTAGTTACATCTCAAAACTTTGATATCTAGTGCTTTTAAACGGCAATATATAACTCATTTAACTGTTCAAATTTTTGGCCGTAACTGAAAGCATATGCTTAACTTTTCAAACCACTAAAGCAACAAACAATGATACAAAATAATTGAGCCTGTTTTGGGCCATTGTCTGTTAATATGTCGCCTTTGCCTGCGATTTGATAAAACGATATTGACGAGATCAAAATTTTTGAATAAGTGAGTAAAAACGAGTAGGCACCAGTTCTACTCTCCTTCCTCACATCCCGCTTCATACATGTCTTAAAATTTATAACCTTTTTTACTTCTTACGAAACACTTTTCTGGCATTAAAAACAGTTGGACTCATTTTCTTTTAAGTGACCTCAAAGTATGACATATTGACACTTCATGGTAGGTAAATACCAAGTTTCATTCCGCCCCTACTTCAGCCAGAGTCGAAAACCTCTTCACATCCAGATCAGCCTGTAGCATCAAATTTGCGGTAATCATGCTAAATCATTCGACCCCATCATCGCATTTACAGAACAAGAGGACAATAATTAAGCTTTACATACAATGCAGTCTTAGACGTACTAAAGAATGCAAAAGTGTTTGTTCACTTTCCTAATCATTGTTGGCACAGGATGGATAGAGTCATGATTTCTTCCAGTTCCCAGGAGCTCACAATTCGTCTCCATTCTCTGGCCACACCTCTGCTCCGGGTTGTCATCCATCTTTTCTCAACCTCTTCACTTAAGTCCTTTTCTTATGCACGATCCCTCTTTACGATAAAGGCTATATTACTACACGCCTGCTGCCAAATTTCAGTCCAGAAAATTGGGTAAGCGAAGCAAAAACCTGCTTTAACGCTTTTGTTTAGTGTGATATACTACGGTCGCGTTTTTCACAAACTTCATTAATAGAAGGCAAACGAATGCTTAAAGGAGCCTGTTTTTTTTCGATAATTTGTATTACATTGTGCAAATCCCAACCCAAACCCTCGTCAAGGAAGATGGGGTGTGTGGAGAAGGCAGTCTACTAACAAGTAATAAGTAGGATAGGGCAGATCGTGAAGTTTAGATGGTCGTAATTGGTCAGAAGGCTGCGATAGGACAAAAAGGAAAGGGCGAATAAATGAAGCAGCAATGAGGATGGCCAAGTGCGCTAGTCTTTACTGTGTCCACCAGTTCGTATCTCCCAGCCTATCAAAGATTTCCCACCAACAAAATCTCTTAACACAACTGTGTAAATTACCAAACAGACCAAATTGCTGGATATGATTGATGAAAGATCCTGTGTGTTTTCATTAGCTGAAGTTGCAAGTCAAAGTAAAACAGCGAAAAATGAGCCTCGCTTATTAAGCATCCAGGCCCGAGTGTGCATAATTATCTTTACTTGTCTGGTTGAGGTCGGTTTGATTGTAGATCCAACATGTCATAATTGATAGTACCTTGAATTTACTAAAGAGTACGAAGGATGATGAAATGTGCCACTTATTATCATTAGTGACTAATGGATAACGAGCTCCCTCCCATCTCCTCCTCCTCCTCCTCTAAAACACGACACAGTCAGGTTCGACTAGTGGAACGTAGAGTTTCCATAGAGGTAATGTAAAATGGAACTTAAGAAATGGAAAATTCATCATTGTGCCATTCCCATTTCATTTAGCACTTAAGCACAAAAACCAATGACTGTGTAAATCTAAAATCAGTAAAATTATAATTTTAATTAGTTGATAACCAAGCAACAATTTAATATTTTGCTTGGTCCAATTTAGGAAAGTTTTGTTTATATGACCTATATTGACCAAAGCTACGCGATCGAGCATTGGACGGTTGTGCACCGGTCGTTTGAAATTGGCTTGGGCGGTGCGGCTGTTTGCATTGAACTTTAGGCTTACTCCCGTCTTTTATCATTCGTTGATTATCTGCAATATTTAATTTACGTGAAAATGACGCAGAAATTGCTGACGCCATTCAAAAAATTGCCCCAGCAGATTCAGAATCTGCCGATTTTTCAGAAGTTTCAGGACCTGGCAACTGGTAGACAAACGGGGAATTTGGCCTGTCACTGCGTTTGTTGATTTATATTTTTAATTATTACATAGGCTTCTGTTTACGGAATTATGGAGCATCCAGTCGCTTTGGCGTATGACCAAGATTTGTGCCTTTTGGCCGTAGTATACACGCATGGCTACATTGAAGTGTAAGTTTTTTTTATTGCAAAAGTTGACTTTTAATAGGTATGGAATGCCAGGACTTTGTTTCCCTGTTGACCACATGGTTGAGGGTGTGAAATTTATGGAGTTTCTTCGAAACGAAGGACGCATACTTCTGGCTACCTCTTCGAGTCTTATTAGTCTAGAATTGAACGCATCTTCGGGTCATTGGCAGAAGAAGCATCATGTCCATCTTCCTCTTGCGTGCGTCATGCATTTTTGCACTCTTTTTAGCAATTTTTGTTTCTTCTAATACATCTGACTTTCGTGAACAGACCCGATGAATGTATCACAGCTCTTGCTATTGGGAAGGGTGTTGTCTACGTTGGATCCAGTGCAGGCACCTTGCGACAAGTAGCCATAAAAAATGGGACTATGACAGTTGGAGATGACGATTTGACCTCCTTACCATGTCTTCTCATCCTGAATAAGTAAGTTTTCTTCGTTTCTAATTTCTTATTGGCTATTTTACAGTTGTCGCATTAGTTTTGTGGTTGATTATTAGTGAGTGAGCTGTGTTTTGTATTAATCAATTTTCGCTGCTATCGAAAAGTTGTTGACATTAGTTTTCAGGTGAGTGATTATTGATTTTAGATTGCCTGAAGACAAGCGCGAGTCTCTGAAACTGGACACACCCATAGTGTCAATCGAGCTTCATCCGGATGGAGAAGAATTGCTTATAGGCTACTCAGGCGGTACAGTCATCATAGCTCAGCCGGAAGCAATCCCACTCACTCCACCTGTGCCAACAACCTCTACCGTCGAGAACATTTCCAACGAAGCAGGAGAAAAGGCAGAGGGTGAAGCTGAGAAGAAGCAGACACAACCACCTTGTGAGAGTGCTGAGGTAGAAGCTGAGCCAACTAAAAAAAGTGAAGGTGATATTGGACCAGAACAAACGTCACCAAAGAAAAGCAAGACTGGAGAACGACACCCCACGGCCAATCTGCAGGCGATCCGAGCTCAGGCTACCAGGAAGTTTCGCACTCTTTCCAAGACCATAAAGAGTAAGATTGAACACACGGCGGAAGAGAAAGTAGAACAGCCAGTTTTGCCTGTGCCTCCAAGTCCGCGTGTGGTTCGGTTACTTCCTTATAATCAGATTTTATGTTGTGCCACATGGCGTATCACCCCATCCGTGCTGGCGTCAGAAGCAGCAACTTCTCAGGAGGTTCTCGTTGCGTACCATGATGGTGCCTATCTTATCTGGACAATTCCGAAGTGTGAGTCGGAGGTGGATGATCCAGTGATTGCCGTAAATCAAGAAGTAGCCAGCATTCCCTACGGTACGTAGAGGCCTTGTTTCGTTACTACCTTTTCACTCTTGAGGCAATACTTCTTCCTTTCTAGGGCCTCTGCCCTGCGCTGCGATTCAGCGTATCATTGCAAGACCTTCTGCAAGGTGCGTGGATGCATTCAGAGCACCTAAATGTTCTCCTAATGCCTGTTTGATACCATGTTTCTGACGATTTAGTGGTGGTGTTATCACTGCATTTGTTGGAGGACTGCCTCGCGTACAACACGGGGAGAAGCATACGATTAGCGTTTTGGGTGGAGTTGATGAACATGTCTGTTTCCAATTTGGCTCGCCTGTCCGAGATTTTGTTGTTCTGCCCAGTAAGCTGCAAAAGTCTGCGTGCAAAAATGAAAATAATGAAGATGCCAGCAAACAAAGTACGTCGAATTTTTTGGGTATTGAATGACCTCCTTTGCCAAATTCTGGATGTAACTTTGGTGTTAACGACATCTCATCGCCGAGTGGAGTAGGGTTTTTGGGTGAACATTTGTAAATTTTAAAAATTCTCTTGCGTTTCTGTTCGCTCATTGCCTTTTATCGCCAGTTGTCCAATCGACTTGCACCTTTAATAGATGTGGGCTTTGGGAATTTCTTCTTCGATCCCTGTTGCGTAGGCAATATTGCTGAACCAGGCTGTTGTTCCCAGGGGAGCGACGTTAGTCTGTTTATCTACTGAAACGGAGCCGAATTTTTAATTAACATAGCCCAGTTCATAATTAATTTTACCTCAACAATATGACTCTTTGGAGGTCATTTTCTACACCTACTCCCTGCATCACATAACTTGTTTAAGGCCACGAGTCCAAAAAACCTCGTGGATTGTCCATTTTGTGGATTTTTTTGTCTTGTAAAAAGTTAACATGCATCAATAATGGGAGGTTTTGTCGGTTTTTGGCATCGTTTGGGCATGAGTCTCATTCCGACTCCTCCTGGGCCTCCGAGCTGTGACATAACACTGCGGTCTATAAGTCACTTCGTTGTAATTACTTTCAACTCACCAACTGGTAGAACGTAAGCGGTTAGTCGATATCTTCTTACCGCATATCTTTAGACTCGGTGTCAGCTTTTGCTCGCATTTAATTCCACCTTCACTACCTTCTATTTAATCGAAGTTGGCAGTCAAATTGCTTTGGCTTAGACGACATTTTATGCCCTGTCAAGTTAGCATGATGCTCATCAATCAAGCCTCCAAATTTGCATTAGGTATCTGCAATTCGTAGACGTGCGAACCTGTTTCCAATAGTGAAGCTTTCTAGGTTACAAGGTTTACTAATAAAGATATTATTTCGGCGCTGTTTTGTCGACAATCAGAGATCGAAGCGGATGAAGGGGAGAAAGTCTGCCAGCCTGCTACTACAGGGCCTTCAACACCAACGGATGCTGGTTACCTCCTCGTTCTAACTGATCGTGAACTGGTAGCCATCGACTTGTCCAAACCCTCCTGGCCTGTCATCCCTTCTCCTTATCTCAAGCATCTTGACTGTACTGGCATCACTGCTGTTGCTCACATCTCTGCAAGTGTCAATTTTCAATCCTTCGACTGTCTAATGGTAACTGACCATAACAAACTTTCCTTTTTTTCCAGATTCCAAAGAAGCTTATGTCAAGTCTGAAGGAGGCGTGCAATGCCAGTGGCTTCGATAAATGGCCCGTGATCGGTGGGCAGAAGACCGACTCATGCGAGGCAGTTGTGGAACACCCGGAGTTCCACGACCTGGTTGCAATCGCCAACGTCGATGCGGATGTCTCTTTGTGGCATGTGGCTCGTGGTGACTGCTTTGAGTTTCTTGGACGCATCTCCAGTCTCGCAATGATGTTAGACGCCGGAGAGTTCGCATGTGATGGGGAGAGAAAAGTATGTGTTTAGTGCATTGCATCCTATTGCGAAAGAGAATCCCGTTTGTTTGTTTTTTTTTTTTGATTTACACATTCCTTTCCCACTGATCCACCGGAAGTTACTCAATCACAACAAATGTTAAGGCAGAAGTGATTTGTGAAGGATAAAATTATGCTTTTTTTTCTACCTTCTGTATGAAGGATATAAGGTCTTGATTTTTCCTCCCTCTTGTGTACTCATACTTCTTCCTCTTTTCATCACCGTGATGGCTTATTTTAAGAGTATCAATTAGTGTCCAGTAGTCAACGCGGCAAAATGTTGATGCCTTCTTCTCAAAACTCGTTAACGTTAACCTAACGGAAGATTGCAAGTTGTTCGTGGAGGGAGCGTTCGGTTAAAGGGATTACTGTTTGATTCATTCGGGGAGGTCCTTTTGACCTCGATGAAGCTGCCTCCCCTTCAATGTGCTGCACGAAATTTGGACTTTCCGATGTGGAGATTGCGATATTTGCGTATGGGAGTGTTATAATGTCAGTGAGGCTTTTGGCATTCACAACTACAGCCAGTGGTCGCATTCCAATCCTTGGCTTAAGGTTGAAGCCCTTTGTGCCTCTCAACTGTCGCATCGATGAGGGAAAGTGGTCCGAAATGACAGCATAGGGCAGTGACAACACCCCGTCGTGAAGGTGGGTGGATGTACATCCCACGATCCTAGAGGGAGAGTTACTACCGCACTTCGATTAGCCTTTCATTCCCCACTTAGTTATGCCGATTAAAATCAAGATTGTAACTTCTCTGATCTACATTTTTTTTAACTTTAAACACCGGTTTAACTTGCTGTTACAAACTGATCGGGCGGGTTAAGCAATCCGAAGTGTCTCAATCCTCCGTGAAACGGTAGCAGCGCTCATCTTGGTAGTACCTCCAAGAATGGTGGTTTATTTTTCGATGAATTGACTGGACGGAGGGTCTATGCAAATTAACCATCCCGACAAGGCTTGTGTTGTCCAAAGCGGGTCGGTGATTTTGTGAGAAAAAAAAAGCGTTTTGAATGTTACCTCTTGTCGTTCCTCCTTTTGAAAAACTACCTCCATTTTTTTGCTAAAGTGAGGACGAGTGTTTGGCATCGTGAATCAGGTCATAGATCGAATTTTTCAGTTTGTGTAAGGAACGCACTTGTAAATCAAGTAGGAGTCGTCTATTCGTGTCCCTTCTCCTACGCCTTCTTTTGGCAACCTCTTCTCATCTTCCGGCTTTGTTACAACAAACACCAACTCGTGTGGCTGTTGTAGGGGAAGTGTGCACTCGCTTTCACTTTCTGTATTGTCTTTTTTTGTGAATCGCCTTCTCGTGCTTTAACGAAAAGGAGAAGTTGTTTTGACAAGCATAGTCTTCTACCACTCGCCTTTGTGCCAGTCTTCAATCCACCCTCTCTTACCCTCCAATGAACGCAAATTTACTGTCCTGTCTTGGGGATTGCTTTACCTCTTTTTAGGCATTTTCGCATTAATCGCACCACACTGCTTTCTTCGTTGGGGAAATTTTTCTTCTTAAATGAAACCTTAAAGCAGTAAGGTGGATGGGAAGCCCATTTTCGCCTATTTAAAGGCTTTTATTTGTGCCATTCATTGCCCTCTTTGTTTTTTTTCCAAATGGCAGAATGAGGAGGAGGCTTGGCCGCCGTTCCGGAAAGTCGGTGACTGTGCCTGTGAAAGTGGCGGAGAAAGGGTGGTGGATGCTCGTTGCGCAATACGCACCCTCTCCTTTCAAGTGATGGACGAAGCGGTGGTTTTGTTTATCGGTGGGGAGACGGGTATCTGCTCCATGTGGTCATCGACAGGACAGAAGTGCCTTGAGCTTGCTGCCACTAAGATATCAGTCGATCTTCTCGATGGCATGACTGACAAGTTTAACTGGGAAGGTCATGAGGCCTTCAAGGTGAGATTTTTAGACCCTCCCTCTCTCCTGTTTTGCGCTCCTCGGTTCAAAGTGGAACGAATAGATTTCATTCATTTGGAAAGCGTTTTGAATTGGCGCCTTTTCGCACCCACACCAATGTTGAACCCACAGTTGCAGGTCTCCATCGCATAGCCACCTTCAAAAATGCACTTCACTCGGGCGCCGAGATTTCCCTATGCAATGTTCTCTTATTTTTGACATTGCAAATATTCGACAAATGATTAGACTGCGTTCCAAACTCCTGCAAAGAAGTACTCTCTCTCTCCGTTTCACTGGATTAGATGTTTCAAAGGTGGATTAACAGATGCCAGCGCTGTCTAACTTCCGTGACGACCGTAATTGTGGTCATAGATAAAACATTCACGATGCGCTTGGAGAGAGAAAGACCGAACAAGCTGTGATTAGGTTTTGCTGTAGTTAGTCACTTGCTGTTATTTGTGGCAGCACATTAATGGAATCGCAATGTGCGCTCCAAAGACTAGCAAAAAGAGTGCGTCTGTAGCGTCTCCATCACCACCGCCATTACCGAACTGCGTTGAGACTTGATGGCGTCTTCTCCACTTTACCACACTTCGCTTCCCACATTCTCTGACTGTCTGAATACCTCGTCTGGGTTGATCGCTTGTCTGCACATGCATAGGCGGTGTTTCTCATACTACATTAGCATTCAAACAATGCACCGATAGTCATTCATTCATTCGCATTAATTTATTATTAGGTGGCTGTTTTGAATGACAGCAATTCTCTGTAGATTCCACGTTCTGCTGATTTTGAAAGTGTGATTTCCAGCGTCATTTATTTCGCATTCCAAAGCTGTTTGAAAGTGGCAGTGATAGCAACTCTCCTTCTTTTTATCCTCCATCAGTCCATTGGAGGTGTCTTCCAACCGCCCGCCACATCAACTCCAGCGTTTGGCCTTTGCGAGTTGATCCAGTTTAATCCACCCTCTGCGATAACTGCTGTGGCATTTGAGCCGCGTTGGGAGGCACTTGCGATCGGTACTGTGCATGGCTTCGCTCTTGTTGACCTCAAATCTCGTGCCGTGGTATACAAACGTCTCACGTTCGGTGCTCTTCAAGGCCCCACCGAAACCGTTGTGCCCTCGGTTGCTCGTAAGTAAGCCTTTGTGTTTTGTGCTGGTACAGCTGTTGTGAGTAGATTTCGCTTTTACCAAAGCTAACTAACAAATGAGACTGTTTGGGGTGCTTCACTTTCGCCCTCATTTCTCCCCTTTTTACTATTGGTCCGAGTTGCAATCCTTTTTTATTCGGTGGGAGTGGCTCTGCGTCGTGTTAAATGACACGATAGTTAGGTTAATTCCTGTTTTCTTAATCAGGTGGAGCTGCTACCAAAATTGTGGCCGGTGGACGCCATTTGAAGGCGACTTTGCGCGAGTCCTTCCGTAAGATTCGAAAAAGCCGTTCCCATTCCTCTGCTCCGGCAGGTGAGGAGTCTGGTGAGGACAAGAAAACCACATCCAGCCCTACTGAGACTGCTGCTGAGGCATCACCTGTGAAGGGTACTTCCTCGTTCCAAGGCTTAATATCTGCCCCCTCTAACTGATGCTATCTCTTAAGCCTCTCTTCTTTTCATCATGTCAGAAAAGGAAGTTGAAGCGGCGCCTTCAGATCAAGTGCATGAACCTCAAGCATCTGCAGCAGCAGAGGCAACGGCCGAAACTGCACAACAGGAAGGTAGTTCGGAAGAGACACCCACCTCGAAATCAGTGGTACTTATTGAACCAAAGGAAGAGGAGCCTGCAACACCACTGCAGCAATTGAAGTCTGACGACACGGCCTTCGGTGTCTCCGCACTTGCCTTGGTAGACACCTACGTCATTGCGGGTGTTGCAACTGCAGTGAAAGAGAATCGACCTGCAATTCCACCTCCACGTACAGCTGCACTTATTGTCGGCACGCAAGGTGGTGCACTGCTCGCGCATACACTCGCATGGCCTCTTGACAGTGCCTCAATCGAGGTCAAGCCGGTCAAGGAGGTTTTCTTCCACCACGGCGCTGCAGTTCTTGCAATCTGCGTTATTGACACCAAAGCTCGCTCCTCTCCAGTTATCAGCGATAAGTCACGGTAGGGAGAGGCTTTTAAGTGTTGTGCATTTGTCAAACTTACTCCTTTCTTTACTTCTCGCACCTTTTCACGCAGCGCTGTGCCCGAGGTTATTCCAGATTTACCACAACCAGTTAAACAGGAATCGGAACCCACCAAACTCGTTGATGGCGAGGAGAGTGGATCAAAGCCTTCGCCGATAGTAGCAGCGGATGCTGCAGAGTTGGGAGAAGCTGAAGCGATGAAAGCGGCACAAACGAGTCATGAGCTTTTGGTTTGTACAGAGGAACAGGTGCGAGTTATTGCACTGCCCTCCCTGAAAACAAAACATAAGTACCATTTCTGGGAGAAAAGTGGTGCAGGTATCCATGGCACCTTTAAACCTCCTCTCATCCACCGCGGCAAGTCAGAGCAGTCCACAACCACCGCAACTTCCGACAACATTGCTGTGTCGGGGCTTCAAGAAAACACTGAGTCCAAAGTTAGTGTTGTAACCCTCTTTGATCGCCCAATCTGTGCACACGTTTCTTGTCCTTTCAGGATATCGACGCCTCTGGAGTTGCTCCAGTTGCAACACCCGAACCCGATTCCATAGAACAGGGAGAGAAGCCAGAAGAGCCTTTTGTTGCATCGACACCACGCGTGTCTTTGCGACGAGTGGCTGGTTTTGGTCTTCAGCGATTTCCTCAACCTCCCAACACCACGATGGAGGAATGTCACGCAGTTGTAGCCCTGAAGAATGGCCGTCTTCATGTGCTCACCATTCCTAGCCTTCGCAGAGTTCTCAAAGGTGATCTGGGGTTCCGACTTGGTTCTTTCCATTTCACGCTTTGTCGTCTTTGTCTGTCACACATTCGTTCCACTAATCAAAGCCACCGATGATGTGACATAGATCAAATCAAAGTCAGTTCTGCAGAGCGATGAATGCAGTTGTACTCAAGTAGCACAATGTTTGGCGAGTTGATTTTGGTGATGGTGTGTGTGTGTGTGTGCGTAGGACTGGTGTTAATGCCAACCTCATTATTTTTAACTGGTCTCATCTAATCTCCTCTCTCTCTCCCTCTCTGTAGCTTCGTTTTGCGACCACGCAGAATGCTGTAGCACCAAACCTGTGCCAAATCAGGGATTCACCAACGCCTGTGTCTCAAGCTCTGCCAATTTGACCTTTTGGCCGTTTGCTGGTTGTCTGTTGGTAGCAGATGAAATTTCCTACGCATTGCCATGTCGACTGGCGTCACTGGTGGGTGTGAACGGTTTGAAGTGCACAGGCGAGGCTGCCTATTGTGTGTGCCTGCCTGAATGGGCAAGACCACAGCCTCCACCACCGCCGCTACAACCAACAGCACCCACTGCTGCCAACGCTGCTTCTGCTGCAGCCGAGGGAACTGGTCGTGCTGTTGTTAATGGTACTGAAGTGAGTGCCTCTTTCCTTCTTGCCTTTCAACTGAGTAGCTTCGCAATCTCGTTGCTGTCAAGCCTTGGGCCACCGGAAACTCTCCTTCGTCTCCCCGATTGCTGATGTCCATCTGTATTTGTTATTTGCAGAATGGTCACGGTGAGGGCGGAAAGGGCGAGAAGGCTGGAGGATGTGGGCCGGATGGAGTACTGAAGGAGGCAATGAGGGGTGCCATTTCCGATCCCGCCGAATCTGCTGACACAGCTAAGGAGGTGGATAGCTTCACAAAGGACATCACAAAGGGCATTCTGACTGAGTAGGCGATTTTGAATAACTTCTTGGGCCTCAAAAGCCCCACTGCTTGGGTGATGGTGATATTGAAGGAAATTTGTCTTTTTTCACCTCTTGTTGCATTTACGAATGCGTTAAAGTGTGTCTGTTTTGACGGGTGCGATCATGTTTGACATGCACTCTGTTGCAGTGCTTTTTTGGAGAAGACAGCGATAAATATTTGTCAGTCCAACACAAAATTCTGCCAAAAAAATTTGTGCTACTTTTTCATGGCGTTTACAGCATCGCATTCTGTTTGCATTTCGGTGGTCCTTTTCTCACAGCATCTTTTCGCCGTTTAAGGGAAACCTGTCACTACGTGGAGTTGCTTTTTTTCTTTGAAATGTTTACTCCAGCGTGGAGCAGTGCTGGAAGATGGCAAACAGATGTCGTTACACACGTCAGCCTTGGAGATGGGAAAGAATGGGGAAATTTTATGTTGCAGTCTTCCTCTCTCACCTTTTTAGTGGCAGTGGTACTGTGACGGTGAAGACGACGGAGAGTTCTCTGGAAAAGCACATCGTCATTGAAGGTGGCAACGTGTTGACAACCGTACACGAGACTCAACTTGTCGACGGGGAGGTTGTCAAGGACGACATAGTTCAAGTGAAGTCAGACGTTGACGAAAGTGTTCCCGTCGCAGTGGGCACTGAAGGTGAGTGATGGGGCAATTGACATGCCTGCAAGTCCACCGTGGATTGGGATTAGGTCACGAGGTCAAACACAGTGGCAGAGCAAATGACATCCCCTTTTTTGCGGTGCCATTGCCGTTCTCGTCTCTCTCTCCTCATTACCATCATTCCTAATGCGTCCGCCTTTGTGCTGACTCTTTGTGGTGTTTGAAGTAAATGTCATTTGTTGTGTTTCCCACTACTTCATTTGCTTTGTCTCATGATAGTGTTGACCATTGGATCATCGCTTTGCGTTTCACAAGTGATTGGATCATGGTGAGAATTTCTGCTCTCTGCCGGAAAGCAGAAAACAGGAGCACGTGCATGCTGCTTGAGAAAGCCAAACACCAAAATCATATGTATCACTTTCTCTTTTCAGTAACCGCTTAACTGGATCTTGGACGATCAGTGAGGCCTCCTCTTCCCCTCCCTCCGCTCTGTCTCCCCATTTCTTTGTATTTGTGTTTGCTTTTCGTACGCACACATTTGCTTTCGGTTTATTTTCACGCTGCTTTTGTAACTGTGACGACTTTGGCCATTTGTAGTCGCCTCTCTTCCCCTTCCCTTTTCCTTCTTCCTAATTTCTTTGCTTTAGTCCTCCTCCTCCTCCTGCTCCTCCTCTTGTTTCTCTTCCCTTCCCTCTCCCTCTCCTCCTTCTCGCCTCATCACAGGAGATCACAATTTTCGACACCGGCGCACAGGGCAATGGTAGCCGCCAGTTTGGTTTCGGTGACCACTACCGCCACTCATTTTCCCCTCCCACCTTTACCTCCCCACCCCAGCTATTCGCGCACAAAAAACAACAACAGCAACAAACGGACTCGTATAAGCAAATGTTTATTTATTTTTTGGTTTTCTCAGACTCCGATGCTGTCCTTTCCTCTCGTCTCCTTCCCCATTGTTTTGTGGGACTGTGGAGTTTGTAGTGAGGAGTGGGTGGGCAGACGAGGAGGAGGTGGTCGTGACCTTCATTAGTTAGTCCACTAAGACAATCGCCAACTGCCTTGAAAAAAAGAGTGCAAACACCATGTCCTGTCAAACTAACATAACTTTTTTCTTCTTTTCGATCCCCGGATTTATGCTGCAATCGTGGTACTTTGTTTGGAACAGTTTTAAAATCGGCTTTTTTGCTGTTGCTTTTGGTGATTAAATTGACACATTTTGGGTCAGCAGGTCGTTGCATTTACAAGATGTACATGACGATTCGGAAGGTCGAAGGGTCTGTTGGTCAGTTCGCTGACTCCCAATCGTAACAGAGCTGTTACACTGTTGAAACTGCGTCGATGTTTTGTTTGCGAGTTAGCAAATTTATGCTCTTGCATCAAATGCGTTTAGCCCAGATTGTGGAATCCTCAAATGGGGCGTTTTCCAAAACATTTCTTCTCATGTAAATTCCCTCTAGTCCAATGCACAGCCATAAATCAGACATCAAAGGAAGTCAAGGTAGTTGATTGTGTGCATCTATCCCTTCCACCTCCCTCCCACCCTCCATTCCCCTCGTCCCGCTACACGTCACAACGAGGTCACGTGTCCATAAACCAATAACAAGGCCGATCAGGTAATTAATTCTCAGGACAGCTGTATGCCACTGCCTCAAATGCTTCGTCCAACTTTTGTTTACCCAAATCGTGCGGCCTTCTGCTCCCCTCACAGTCGCCGAAGTCGTTTAAACGGTGCAGTCGATGCGCCTTGTCCCCAACGCCTCCGTGCCAAGAGCAGACATCTTTGGTTTGGGCGCACCCGCAGGTTGTGATTACTCGGTTTTTTTAGATGCTGGTAAGCATTAATGCGGGCTAACATAGTGACCTCTTAGTTCGTGCATTTTACCACTTTGGTATCTACTGACAACAATTTTGAGTAGCATGAGTGCTCTGTTAGTTGTGCTGCGGGGCATGTGATGAGAAGTGGCAAAAATCATACCAGATTCTTAAGTTTTTTTTTCTATAACAAATTGTAAGATGGTATGGAAGTTGGCAATTTGACTGCCACTGCACTCTCATCTTAAGGGAGAGGGCGACAGGTTGCCTTAAAGGCGATGGAGGAGGTGCACCTCTAAAATGGCGGTCTGAGGTGGCCTGTTGCCTTTGTCGCTGAGACTAATCATTTTTCGACCGTTCGTGTAAGCTTGACATTTAAGAAATAACTTCTTCCGCACCAGCATATTTCAAGGGTAATCCTCCACACTCCAATGTCAGGAATGAGGCCACATTCAAATTGGGCGAAAATGCCATAAATCAAATTGTTTTTTCCGGCCTGAAGAGTGCTGGAAAGAAAACAGCTTTGAAAGTAGGCACGATTTGGTCAGTTGAGGCTGTTCACAGCGGGTCCATGCTAAACGGGTTTAGCAGGAGTTCTGACTCCCCTCTTCTTCCATTCACCAATTGCAAAAGCAAATCATCGTCACAGCTGTAAAGTGCTACCCACCATGTGATTTTTAACAGACTTTTAAATCGCATATTAAATAAATTGCGTACATTCTTGCGGAGTTCCATTTGCACAAAGGAAGCACAACATGTGTGTCAAAGAGTGCAATTTCCTCCTAACAACCAACTTAATTTACTGGGCCATCCTATGAAACAGGCTACTACTGGACCCCATCTCATGGAATCCTTTTCTCACGCCTTCAAAATACCATGCATAGTAATGTGGATCTGCTTGCTTGACTTCAAATCGTCGCATTTTAGCTTCAACCCAGATTCCTGCCCTCTGGAGTAATTAGCGTCACCGGAAGAGACCGATCAACAGCATGCCACCCCCAATTAGGCAATCTAACAAAGCTGCTTAGACGGAGGCCTACAAAAGCGATGAGTAAATGCACCAAAGGGCACCTATTCGCCCTTTTTGTGATCCACTGTCCCTTTTTAAAAGAGAACAGCGACCTGTCATCTATCTATTTGTTCCATCTCTCAGTGTCTAGTCATCTTTTTGCCTTCCCTCGTCGGAGAAAGAGAAGGCACACAGCCTTGAGCGCGAACCAATCGTGGCAGCGACTACCATCCTGCAATGGGCCACTGCTATTGGCCAATGAAGCGCGAGTAACAATCAATGCAGCAGTAAATAATATGAGCATGCGCCAAAGCCCATACAATTGAGCTGGAAAAAATGCTTAGCTATATGATGGCGCCTGAGTTTGTTTTTTTCGTTGATAAGACCCCAACGTAGTCAAGGCTAGGTTACTGGTTGTGTATTAGTAACGATGGTCTTCATGTCTAAATTTGACTATCTCCAAAATTAGTTCCAAATGTAGATTAGACAATAGTGAATACAGAAGTGGGGATACAAAAGGGCCTGTTGGCTTGACTGATCGAGCTCACTATGGGAAATTTCAAATAAAGCTGCGTTTTCTAATCTCCCTACAAAAGGTTAAACGTAATTTTAACCAATCCAAATGCAATGAACCTACAGCCAACCAATAGGAAAGCTGCCTGTTTTACACTTCGAATAGGGATTTAACTTTATCGCCTACTTGAAACATTAAACTCTATAGCGTCTTCTTCCTCTATTTTAGGATAAGTCTATCTCTCCATTGCTATGTAACGTTCAGCTCTGGGAAGGCAATAAACTTGTACTCAAGGTGATCCACCCAAAATCCCCAATCCCCACTTTTAACACGTAATATTTCAGCTTTGTAATCCACCTATTACATATTTCATGCCTATTGGGTAAATCTTTTAATTACAAACGGCGACAGTGGCAACAAAATCTACTGGTCGCATCGCATCGAGATGACGGCTAGATGGATAGGCCATTATTATAAAAAATTTGAACTTCAGAAGGCAAATTGTGGTCCGTTGCCTTGGTCACCTTTTGGTCTTAACACGTTTTCGGCGCCTCGTACGAATGTTAAGCGTCAAGGTGAGGTTATGGCAATCACTTTAGCTGCTAATATTAGGTAGGAAGATGTGGTGGGTGTTAGAGAATCCTTTCTCTCCTGTTCCACCGCATTATGCTAATTAGGCGTGCTATTTGGAGATGAGATCCGCCTTTGCCAACCAGAAAGTACTCCACATTATGCACAAAAACTGCGCCTCTATAGCCACCATACGGTCTTACAACTTTCTCCATTTGAAACAAACATGAAAACCTCCTCACTCTTCCCTTTTTACCCACGTGGAGGTAAGTACCACATTGCAGTTGTTCGTAGGCTACTTCATTTCATTCTTTAGCTTTTGTAATATTCATGACCTTGAGCTGACCAGTTTTAACGTACTTGTTTATCCTTCTTCATCGCAAGCAAATGACAGACCTACCGCCGAGTGGGCAAACTTCCAGCCTCAGCCAAACCGATCAACTGCGAATTATAGGAGCATTAAATCAGTCTCTAGGCAGATAGAAAGTGGATGACATTCCAACTAACAGGTCATAAATTAAAAAACAACCAATGCGAGCCGAAATGGAAAGTAGACGAGGCTGTGTGATGCAGAGTAATGGGAGTAAAGAGGGAGATATAGGAGAGTTGAGGGTGTACACCCACTTCCAACCAGGCGCCTCCAGGACAAACGCAACGGTCTGGGTGACTCATTTTTGGAGGTTTTTTCGTCCCCCATTGCCACAGCATTTGGCCTCATCACCTTTGCCATCCTCGACCTGTCCTTCTCGCATTCTTACATGGGTTGAGGACATCCCATTTGGCTTCCCATTGCCCTGTAAGTCCATCCAGCATTCACTTTCAATAGCTACTTGCTACTCTTATGCAAATTAAAATGTTCAGTTTAGTGACATATGGGTGAAGGCCCTTTTGCGTTCCTTTATAACTCGTCGGATAGACAATTTACCACGACTACTTAAAGGTGAACTCCATCAACAACATCATTCACTTAAACCCTGTTTCTGCAACCTCTAACAAAAAGTGTTTGCAATGTGTTTAAGAGATGACATTTAAGTGGTACTTAAAGGTCTTATTGAGGCGTATTCGAGAGGAAAAAATAGAAATCGCTGCAACTGCTTGTCCACGCAGGTGGTCACTTCGAGATGCGCAGAGTGACACCTCTACAACACACAGCTGTGGGGAAAAGTGTGAAGTACTTGCCTGTCCTTCCATTGCGTCCATTTCACTTAACGTCACGTTTGCTGTTCCCCTTACACGCCTGTTTAGTTTGTTGCTTGGTTAAGTTTGGCTTAATTAAGGAAATCCTGCTATTTGTCATTCCTTTGAATCAGTGCCCCACCACCACCACCACCACCCACAGTCATTTGAGGCCTGGGAATATTGCGGAGTCCATTAATTTTACCCCTCTTTTAGTCATTGCTAAAATACGACGCCTCTTTGAAAAAGGAAAACACAAACCGACATTTGGGATTTACAGTATTAATTAATTGATTTGTCAATTCACTTGGCTCCCACAAATCAATACCCTGCCAGTTGAAAAGGTCAACAATGTATCGATTACCGATGATTGAATGTTGGGCTTTGCTCAAGACATCGGTCTTGCCAAATGGGTTTTCATAGATGGGACTGACATATGGAAGACGTTTTTTACACACAGATCGTACCAGTGCCTCCTCTTGACCTTTACTGCATCGTCGCTGCCATAGCAACTGCGCACCTTTCAGTGAGGACAGAGACTGCAATAACACCGAGCATCATATCACTTTCGTCGCTATCACACTTTTCTTTTGTATACTTATTAATGACTTCACGGATGGTCTTGCCTGCTTGTCGGGGAAATACTTATTTTGGAAGGATTAAGGGCGGACTTGGTTGTAGAAACATGTCTCTATAATGTATTTTCTACGGGGCGCGTCTGATCTTTCACAACTTCGTCACTATGAGGCTATAAAAAGTGTGAAAGACTTCGAACGCACACAGTAAAAGGACCACCAAGCACTTATCTTGAACAGTGTCTACTAAGACTCACCAACAGTAAAATACAACAACGGTATCAACAACAACAACAACAACGCCCCTTTTAGTTGGACAAGTGATGTTGCACGCACCGTATGACGCATATCCGCACATCAGATCTTCTCCCACTGTAGCGCACGCGCTGTCACCCTCTCATTGGTTGGCATCCGACCAATGACTGAACGATTACATCGATTGCAAGGTTTCCTGCGTACGCATTGGTGGCCTCTCGTCTGTGCATCGTTTTATGCCTTCATGGGGGGTTGGGGGCGTGGAATGGGGGAAGGGGTGGGCAATTTTCGCTAACTACAAATAACAGCCGCTCCAGCGTCTCGGTGAATAAAAAGGCACTGAAACAGAAGGCAGATGGGTGGGTCTTTTAACAACGAAACCTTTCATTGATCAAAAGGAGATTATTTCATTCGTCTGATAAACACTTGGTCAGATTGGGAAGTTTGAGGTGAGAGATATAGATTTTTTACCGTGATACAATGTCATTAAAACGCCTTATAGGTTCTGGTGTATTTTGTAGTCATGGTGCCAAAATAACACATCGATTTAAAGACAGAGGCACGCCTTGAAGGTCTGATAAATTACCCGTTGGCATGTCCATGAGACCCGGTTATGAAATGGATGATTGCTGTTGATGCAGACAGGACTAAAATATGCGCTCTGACATATAAAATTAACAAAAAATCGTATTCTACAACTATAAAAAGCTATAATTGCATGCCTAAAGAGATCTTTACATGAGCTGAGGGACTTAGGAAAGGAACTATTCCTTACCTGCAGTGACAAGACTTTAGTTTCGAAGGCTTTAAAATGCAAAAGGCAAAGTAAACAAATTCGTTCTTCTCTCAACCTCCATCGAACGCTTAGTCACCGTATTTGCATAGACAACTTCGGTCCGACATGAGGCCGGTGTCTTGTGAACACGGAAGTTTAATGTTATAATTATTTAAGAATTGAAGCTTAAAGCTTATAAGTTATAGGAAAATAGTTTGTACAAATCGTAGCAAGGTGCTGCATGAAAACCAGTCGTCCTTTCAAAGAAAGTCTCAAGAAGACGCAAATAATTGCATTTCAAAGGCTCTCTGATGCTCCAATTTGCGAAATGTGGTTTAGAAGCGACAATTAGTTCATTTGTGAAGATAGAAACTCACGATTTCCCCAAGTGTCTTTCCACACTCCCATTGAGTGGTAGATCATCTTGCCTTATTTGGCCGAATTGGATTGGCGGAGAAGTGGAGCTGTTTATTCTTTTTTGTTTATTCAAGTCGAAATGCACTTGCTACAAGTATAAGATTACAGCACACTGAAAGCATTTGCCTCACCGAAGGTGATCTGGAACAAGTGGACTAAGCAAAATATGAAAATGGAAGAAAGTATTAAAAAGCCAAAGCAAAAATGCACCAAAAATGGGCCTTAAAATCGCGCATAGGGGAGCATAACGTTATTGTTACTCAAATGAATTCAGTAGAAAGGATTGTGTGAATGCATGAAGGTTCCTGAAGGAGTGGGACGAGTGCACTCGTGTGCGGTGATGTGTGCGTGCGCGGGCGCGTGGGGATGGGTTGCGGGTGGGAATTTGAGAAGGAGAAAGAGGAGGTGCAGCTAGGATGAGAGGAGTAGCTAAAAGCAAGACTGGAGGTACGATGAGCGGCAGGGCAAGTAGTAGAAATGGGATTCGTGCGAGGAAACGTGGGTAGATGGTGAATGCGTTGGTAGAAAGATGAGAAAGGAATAAAAGGGGGCATGTTGTGAGGATGGAAAGAGTTGGCGGAAAATGGGTGGTTCTACCACCGTTGCGGTTGTGCTGCCGTGATGAGTGCAGCAGATGGCGTGCGTATGGCGGCTGGCTGGTCGGTTCCTCATCGGCCTGCGGGAGCAGTAGCTGACCATGCTGCAGGTGATAGCAGTGGCACGGTGGTGGTGGATGGGTGCGAGAGCTCTCTGCCACCTCTTCCCGGTCCCTCCCCTGCTTGCTTGCCCGCCTGCTGTCGCTGAGTGTGCGCAGGCACCGCTGCTGCCGCGGGACTGGTGTGCGAAGTTGATGTGGCACCTAAGGCATGAGTGGCAACCGCAGCTGTGAGCGGACGGGAGGAGGAGCGGAGCGGCAGACTTCTACCTCTGCTTGCGCGCATTGCGTTCTAACATGGGGCGGACTGCTATGGTAACCAAAGTCCTTCACACGTATTTTATGACGTAGGTTTGAAAAATTAGTCGATTGGAGAAATGAAGTGCATCAGTCGACTTTCATCAACATCAACATCATCGCAAGGCAGTCACCTTGAGGTCATATTCTGTTTAAAAATGTACAAATTGTGTTCTTCGAAAGCAAAATAGCTTGCCTTCAGCATCCCAAAGTAAAGATTTCCGCTCCCAATTACTGTGAAAGCTCCCAACGACCTAGGAATTTAAGCAATGACGTCACAGCAGACATTAAAAATACGTATTGCGTCATCCTATGTTCTTCTGGATGAACGAATTTCGACCTTGAGGTCAGATTACTTCTTATAGGTGCACATTACGTCAGTCAATAGACTGAGGAGTTAAACGACATTATATTCTTATGATATGACGCAACTAAGGTTTTAATTGTCAATCATGGTGTCAAATCAAGGTCATATTACGTAGTCAAGTACACCGCCCCGCTACGACTCAGATGCAATTAAACGACAAATTAAATTTTTAAGTCACAAGTCAAGGACATATTGCAGCATTAACCATGCACTTAACGCGTCACTTTCTAATCACGTCACCCAGGGGTATCCAATGTACTATTCTTTTAAAAAATTTGACTTTGAGGCTGTATTGCGCCATTGAAGCACTTATATTGTCATCGCGCGTACTTCAATGTCAAAATATTCGACGTTGAAATCATATTTCGTCAAGCACCTTTCAATCAAAAAAATCGAAATTGAAGTCAAATCACATTACAAAAATACACAAACGCCGTCATCATCACCATCGTCGTCGTCGTCACAAGGTAAAAAGTTTCGCTCGCAGTCAGTAGAAGAGGTCCCAAAGACCTTCGTTACCATATCATGACGTCGCAATCGTCCTATGTACTCTAAAGCAACGAATTTAGACCTTGAGGAGATAGGATGTCCTTCGGAGCATAAAAACCATTCTGCGAACATCTGGATGCGACATGTGTTGGTGTCAGCAGCCTTTCCCGCCAGAAATCGCTCATAATTCAAAGCCATGTTGCTTCATAGAAGGGCATGCTACATCAATCTATAGACCACAGAGCCCAAACATCATGACCGTGGCGTCAATCCAACGTCATACTGCGCAATTAAGGACCACTGAACCCACTAGTGTTGCATCTATCAAATTCGATCTAAAAAGATGTTAAAGCAATAAATTAACTCGTCATCAAACTGAGTGACATATCAAGGTCCTATTGCGTCAGCATAGCTCCGACTGGCGAGTCAAAGTCACAACGGGATAGAATATCAACCCAGAGGTCAACGAAAGCACTTATTACGACATCTAGTTTACTTTGGAAGCCTCCAGACCTGACCTACATGACCAATAGTGTCACTTATTGAACCATTATTGATCCTGATGACGTGCCAAGGGCTAATTACTTCATCTGGGGACCTCCAGAGCTTTTTACGCAGGGCGCCACGGATTGCCAAAACGTTGACTCAGAGGTCAGCAAAAGTGTATATTACGTTGTCCAGTATACTTTGGAATCCTCCAGACCTGATCTAGTTTCTGATGACGCCATTTATCACCTCTATCGATCCGGATGATCAGTCAAGGTCAAATAACTTCATCTAACAGTCCCACATCTGACTTATCTACAGCTTTCGGGCATATAACGTCACAGCTATCCAAAATATCAACTTAGGGATCATCAAAAGCGAGTATCAAGCTATTCATTTAGGTTCTGCACCAAGTTTTTCTCGGCTTTGTATATGTAACTTGATGAGTATATTATATTTTAAAATAATTTCATTCGTTAATCTTCTCAGTAGAGTTGTTTTTGCATATTTTTAGGTTCTTTGTCCCTTTTAGGTATTATTTGTATGTACGCCTTTGCAAGATTATGATTACTGTTGCAACATATTTTTGTTTTAAGTAGTCAGGGTATGTGTTGCTAGGTCTCCTGCTGGCATCTCATTCGTTGGATTTGCGATGCTGGAAGTATGCTGTTGCGGCTGCGCTTGGTGCTTTTCAGCGTGCATGGGTTTATTTGTGCATTTTTGTTGTTGCTACACTGGACAGGATTAATTGTAATTGCTGCTGTGCTGATTGAGCAAGAGGCGACAGAACGTGGCGTTTTGAAGCTGGTAAGGCAAATCTCGATCCCTTTTTGACAGTTAATGTTTGCATTTTGTGTGCGTGTTGATTTATTTGCAGAAGCTCTGCCTGCTGCGATTGCAAGTAGGTCTTTTGCGTTGTCTTTGTAACCGTTCAGGCCATCGTTTGTGTCGAGCCTTCGTTCCCTTCATGTACCATTGTGTTATTTGCGCATATGCTGGTAAGCAGGCAAGTTAGAAAGGAGGGAGGAAATGTGGGAATTGAAATGGGTTTTTAGTGCGCTAATAATGGTGCGAAAAGGAGGACTTAATGGTTTTGTTTCTGCCTCTGTATGCTGCGAGACGGTGGCTGGAAGATGGTACAAGTTGAGTGTGAAAGCGCGTTGATTGAGTAACGTTAGCAATGGTGAAGTTTAAGTCACGTCTTCCCCACACCACTTTGTTACCCTCTTGTAGGTCGCAATGATCTGTGCGCATACGTCCCAACCTACTACCGTCGTGGTTGTGAAGAGGGATTTTGCTGCGACGGATGTTTGCTCTAGCGCTGCGGCCTAATGCTGCTGCTGGTCTTGAGACCATTGGAAGTGGTGTGCGGTGAAAATGAGCAGACGGATTGGGTGGGGTTGGTTGCCATGTGTCGTCAGTATGGGCAGGGTAGGAAGCAGAAGCGCTCATTAGCTTCGTCGCGAGTGAACAAGAAGACGGCGAGGAAATGTACCCCGACCCACTTGTTTGTTTTTGAACTAACTACGCTCTACCGATGTTCCAAGCATTTGCTCGATTAAGTTGTACTTGCATCGCTCCAACGTGACAAGTGCAATGCGGCATTGTTGTTGCTGGCATTTTTGTCGATTTTATTTGTCTGCGGTAGCGTTGAAAGGATCGTGCAGTGGGGAGGAATGGATGTGGGGCGACGTAGGTGGTAGTGGCTGCAATCGTGAGTGGACTAATGCCGCGTGCGTTTTTCTTCTGTGTTTGTGGATCGGGGTGTATAGTTGTCCCTTTTAGCTCTCCCTGTGACCTCTATATACTTTACCGCAGCGATAGATGCATTACATGGTGTGGGTGGACGCTCTTCTTCTCATGCTTCGGTGCGCTGTAGTTACGTTGGTTGCAGTAAAGTGACGCAACCACCGTCACTGGCACCACGCTCATGGCGCCACTGTCAGGAGGAGGTGAAACACTGTTGTTGTTGGTGTTGTGATTCTTCGTTTGTCCTCCTCCTTGCTGTGTCTTATTCTCGCCGTCGAGTGCCTCAATTTATGCATGGCTTTTGCGTATCGCTGCCTTTCTACGTCTTTCATAAAATTGCTGCGTGCCACCACCTCATTGCGTGGTGCAGTTTGCTAGAGTAGTGAGCCTATATGTGGATGAACTTGTCGTGGTGGGCTAGGTATAATCTTGCACAGCGTAGATGCTCCTCTCTCCTGCAATAAATAGCCTCTAGTAAGTCATTGCCGCGTGGGCTTTAGCGTGGCTGCACATAGCGGCAACATACCATCTTCGGTGTTTCTTTATTGCATTAAATAAATAAATAATTAATTAACGGGAACATCTGCATAATGAGCCATGGGTTATAACCGTTAACGCACTTGGACGTTGCACGCCTCTATCCGCCACCCGCTCCCCCTCCGCATTTCCTTGTCCGCCACCTAGATCTAGACAGTGCACATTTTGCCTTTGCGTGACAGCTGATGGATGCTAAGTCCAGACAACTTCATACACCCAGCAAAGGTCTTTGTTAATTTATCATTATGCTTTCTTCGCAAACACTTACCTAGGGCAGTATTTCATGCGGCACGCATGTGATGCCATGCGCTTAGTGAAGGGTTAACCAGCCGCTGAGAGAGGAACTATTGTCCGATATAAACTCATGCTATTGTCACTACTACTACTGCTTTCGTAATAAACTGCCTATGCTGCTGTTGTGGTCATTGTTGTTTTAATAACAGTAACAACGCCGCAACATATGTCAAATGAATGCGCGAAGTGCACGGTGTGTCCAGATGGCTGTAGTAATGCATTTGCAGAGGAAAACGCCACACCGAATGTGAGCAACGTAGTGCAGCTGTGGTGCAGCAGCACAGTAAGGGGCATCTCTTCCCCACCATCAACTAATGCCCCTTCTTCCTCGTCCCCTTCCTCGTCGCTACGTCTTTCTCCAAACATCAACACTCTTCTTGGTTACTTTCCTACAACCCCACTTTTGTTGTCAGTTGTTGATCGCGTCCTTACCGAATGACACTTCTTCGCCAGCTATCACGGCCACAATTCGTCCACCCATCCATCCATCATTCCATTTAAATTGTCTCTACGTTCTCCCCATCCTCCCCTCCCTTCATTTTGCCTTGTTCCACGCTACACCACCTCAACTCAGCTCCTGAGCACGAAGACCTGACCAACTGCTTTACCTACCTACCGGCCTTTCCACTCCATTTTCAAGTAATTATCGTCTGAGTTACGCAACAACAATGACAACCATTACTACCTATTTGCATTTCATTAGGCAAGTCGCTTATCCTTTAAATCCGTCCTCCTCCCCTGCCTCCCTCTCTCCGATATCCACCTACCACACTAGCCTGCGGAGGTACTCTCCACACACATCCACAGCCATATCGATACTCAAATCTACCTCTCCATTCATTCTACGTTGATTCAAGGCACCACTCCTGCATAACTGTCCGCTACGGAAGGGACCTCAAAGCAACGCCTTATTCGACATATATAAGCGATCTGAGTACGCAGTTGTTTAACAAAGACCAAGAAGTGCATTTAAACACTAGGTAGTGTTGTACATGCATACTTTCAAGGATTTGCATTCCTGAATGCATGCATTCATGCCATGCAAATAGTGCATGAGATTAATCAAG